GGGCCGGCAGGGAGAGTCAAAATCTCTTCAGGATTAATAATCTGAATGAAATGGGCGAAATGGGCATTACATGACAAAGCATTCTGAACCCCCCCCCGCCCCCCAAGTATCTGGATCAGAGGTAACGGGGGGGAGATGAATGAATGTCACTGTAATGGTGACGAGAATCAATGAAACCAACACGTCTCTGCCTTCTCAAACAGCAGGGGGTGCTAATGAGTTCACTCACTCTCTCACACACACACACACACACACACACGCACACGCACACGCACACACACACACACACACACACACACACACACACACACACAATCCTGACCGGCTCTCACATGAAGGGAAAAAATTACAGCAAACAGATCTAAAGAAATCAAAGCTTTTATTTTGCATGTTTAACAGCATTTCAGTTCAACACTCTCCAACCTATTAAATGCAATTTTTTTGGAACATATATAATTATATAAATATTTAAACAGTACAATTCTTTCACACAAACTTATTTTGGTGGTGTCAGCATCTACGTCACACAGGGGGATCCGCGGAAATGTCACTGGAGACACGCGGACCAGCGGGAAGTGGCCGACGACCGTGCCGTTCATGGCGGGAGCGTGATACACTCAGCAGCTGCTGGGTGTAACGTCAAGCAGCAGTGCAGGGACCCACCATCGCACCTCTACCTATGAGAGGTTAGCAACAGCCCTAGCTAACTAAAAAAATACACTGCAATCAACTGCTACTCTAACTGGAGGAAAGTGCTGGCAAATGTAACAATTCCAAAGAGTAACAATGACGTAGCTTGTAAGGACCAAGCCTCCAAGGTGCGCTAATTAGTATGACCTTATATTTAACAAGGAGCGTTATGAGTATTTATGAACATACAGAAGACAATGACTCGCGTTAATGAGCGTCGCCTGAGCTACCAACCCTCTGCGCGCTACGGGAAACGATCTGCTGGGAGAGAATATTCAGTATGATCAGCGATGAGCTGAGAAATGTCAACATACAGGTCCAGGTCAGAGCATGGGCTCCTCGGCGTGACAAAGCATGATTATCTGAGACTTCTAAGAAACACATGACCTGGTAAGACCGTTGCTATGGAAACGCCATAGAATTGACACTTGGCAGGTAAGCAAGCTAGCAGGACAACCTCAGCAGCACTGACGAGGAGCTGGACGCACCACCCACCCACGAAGAGACGCAGGAGAGATGCAGCATAATGGTAACCCAGATAGCACCCTGATCTTCGGTGATAGTCTAACACGCAGGTTGGCCTGTACTATTGAGCAAACAGGGCCCAGCTAAACACAAGCAGCCCCACTGGTACTCAGGGCAGAGGACTTGAAAGATGCCCGTCTTTGGATGTCAAAATCAAAACATTTAGAGAGAGATCCTGCAAGATAAACAATGACGTTATCAAAAGACTTTACAGCATAACATCTCAGCTTTAAAAAAAGGCTGGTTTTGAATCTACTGTCTATGAATAAGTTTGTAAAAGTCTCACTTAAACCAGATGCAAAAATTTAAAGCCATTGTGATCCTGTACAATTGTTCAGCTTTGAATGAAATCAGCGTTTGGTTCCACCAAAAAAAAAAAAACAAAAGAACAAAGCGCAACCTGCCTGAACACCAGTCTCTCTGAGCCACTTGCTGCTCCCTCCGACTATTAAAAGCCAGAATTTCTCTTGCTCCGGAGGACCACAGTGCTCAGGATACAGGCGCCTGCGTCAGGATGGTTCCGACAGACTATTTGCAAAGGATCCCCAAAACAATGGCAACATCGATGAAAATACATTCACAACATGAATTGCGCCCCCCCCGCCCCTGAAGAATGAGGTAATAGTGTGAGGTGGCTGGTGCGGTGAGAGCACTGCTGAGCCAGACAGTCCACCTCAAACAGCTTCTGTGTTTTAACACCCGGGAAGGCAAACCAAGCAGCTTCAGATGAAATGGTAAAGTCAGATAAACAGCAGTCGGTCCCCGGCTAGAAGCTCAGCACCGGGGGATCTCTGAACCCAAGAGGGAGGGGTGCTAATCGGCAAACGGCACAATGCCCTGGCCGGCTGGACGTTTTAGCGTTAGTGCTGTCCTGGGTGACGAGTCTCTGTCCGTGTTGCCCGTCTTCTGACCCGCCTCCGTGCGGGCTAATCGTGACAGCCGGCATGAGGCCAGGGTGTCGATCCAAAGCTCAGATCTCTCTCTCTCTCTCACACACACACACACACCTCAGGAAATGGGATTCACTGTCAGAACAGCACCCCTCCACTGCAGCGGGATGCCCAGTACGAAAACTACACATCGTAATAGAAAATAATTATAATAAAAATATATATTACAATAATATTAATAATTATAGTGGGAGCTATAAAAATAAATCTTTGTCAGTGAAGTGGAGTGAAGTTTATGATTGTAGAGAGGGAGTCCGTAAGTTGGGGGGGCTAATCACGAAGACCCCACCCCCAGCTGCAGTCAAACCATCTCCTCCTGTTCTTCCCAGGCTCCTGTCACGGCAGCCATCACACCAGGCCAGAGTCCTTGGCCATCTTATAGAAGATTCCTTTCTGGGCAAGGAGGTTAGTTGGCGTGTCAAACTCCACGATTTGGCCCTTCTCCAACACCAGTACCCTGTGGCGGAGACACGGCGAGTCCACTCAGAGGAGAACGCCGGCGAAACACCAGAAATCCCACAATGCACCAGGAAAAGATCACCAGGACACCGCAGTGACCCTAATCTCAGGCTCAAACCTAATGGCTGGCCTAAATAAACCATTAGCACTAGCTTACCAATGAAAAACTGAAATGAAAGGATCCTTTTGTTTGCAAAGTACAGGTACATAGGAACTCTAGTTTCTGCATATCCCATCATGCTCTCCTCTGAGACATACACATGCATAGAAGTATCCGTGAAACTTGGGGTCCGAGCTCAGGGTCAACCATTTATATGATGCCCCGGAGCATATTTCGGGGCATTAAGGGCCCCTGCTCAAGGGCCCGGTGGAGATGTGCCTATTCTGCCAATTATGGGATAGATGAAGGCTCTCTGCCATCAGTCGGCAGCCCTCTAGATTGGGACTGTATTACTAAATGTTGTACACTGCATAGTGCAATTTAGGAATTTACTGTATTGTGCCTTTTGTACAGTATTATCTCGTGTCACTTTTTGTTTTCCGCTGTAACACTTCTGGAGTTTCCTTCGGCATCAATACTACTACAGTACTACTACTGCCATCTTTCGCAACACAGAAGTAGCCCTTAGGCAGACCAAAGCACCAATAAGAAATGAGCTTCCTTCACTAATACAAGCCCCAAACTGTTTTTGTAGGATTTCCTGATGCATGGCTCATCGATGCCTGAGCATCCTCACCTGGTGTAGTCCATGATGGTGTTGAGCCGGTGGGCGATGGTCAGCACGGTGCAGTCCTCGAACTGGCTGCGGATGGTCGACTGGATCAGGTTGTCCGTCTCCAGGTCCACGGCGGCCGTGGCCTCGTCCAGAACCAGCACCTTGGTTCTGCGCAGCAGAGCTCGGGCCAGACACAGCAGCTGACGCTGACCCAGACTGGCGGACAGGCGAGAGGGGTAACGGGACAGCGGGTTCAAGAGGTGGGGAAGAATGAGCAGAAGAAGAGATGGAGAGCAGGAGGAGCAGAGTGCAGGCCTACCTCAGGTTCTCTCCTCCTTCTGAACACTCGTGGCCCAGCTTATCAGGCAGGCTGGAGACGAAGCTCTTGAGGTGGGCCAGCTCCAGGGCGCTCCACACCACCTCATCCGAGTAACGGTCGAAGGGGTCGAGGTTCATGCGCAGCGACCCAGAGAACAGTACAGGGTCCTGGTGGTGAGATGAAACGTGAGCACAGATACCTCAGCATTTAATTACTCCTGTACACAGTTATTCCCTGGAAAAGAAGAAGCAGAGGGCTTTTCTGATGGGGGGGGGGGGATAAAGAGGAGGTCAGGTTCCTCCTCCAGAATCTCAAGCCACTCATGTAGGACTTGGCTACAGATCGCCTACCAGGCACACATGGAAGATGTTATGTTCCTGCTTCACAGAGTTTACTTGAAAATCGAGCAATTTCCTGAGGATTCTCTTCATTGACTTCTCCAGTGCATTGAACACTATATTCCCATTTGATCCTCGTACCACATCCAAGAACATGAGAACACCTGAGGGATGATGGTGATGCGGGAGCGAAGCTCGTGGAGACCCAGCCTGGCGATGTTCACGCCGTCGATGAGGATCTCCCCTTTGGCAGCCTCGATGATGCGGAACAGGCCCAGGGTCAGGGAGGACTTGCCAGCACCAGTCCGTCCCACAATGCCAACCTGGAGCCACATTATTCATTCATTTATTCATAAAAAAAAGAAAAAAAAAGAAAAAAAAAAAAGCCATTCAACTTCTGTCCCCCTGTCTAATATGGGGTCATGGGATATTTTAATAACAGTTCTCCTAAAATACTGAAAAATTCATAAAAATGTTGTAGCAGGTAGCTGCCCTGGCAGGTAGGACTTCCCCACCTTCTCTCCAGCTTCTATAGTGATGGAGATGTTCTTCAGCGCCATCTCCAGGTCCTCCCTGTAGCGCAGGCCGAATCCTTGGACCTGGATGTGTCCGGAGGTGGGCCAGCCATGTGGGAGGGTGGACTGCTCCAGCTGCCAGGCCGCCTGGGCAGGAAAGGAGAGGCCACACGCTTCAAATTCATGGCACTAAAAGCGATGGACAGCGCCTGTGCAGGTCGCTGCTGTGGTACCCTACAATGTTGGCCGTTACACTTCCCCTTGGGGACCCCTAGCTATATGAGGAACAGACAGATTTAAACTGAGCAGCTTCTATAACAGTTTGCAGTGTTAAGAGGTCAGCGGGAGAGAAAAATGCAGGATATTTTGGAGCTGCAGTTAAATATTTGCTGAACAGCTGGCTTTTTCAGGGTACTGAAAGCCAAGATGGCGGCAGTCTGAAAGGTGATTGGCGGGGCCTTTAACAACCTCTTTCTCAGTGCCCTCATACTGCTTGACTCTCTCCACAGCGACGATGTTGGTCTCCAGCTCTGAAGACATTCGCACCAGCCAGTTCAAGGAGGCGGTAACCTGAGGGGCAGGAAGACAGAGGCTTTAGCCAAGCAGGGGAGGGCTGGGGGGGGCGTGGGGGGAGCAGAGCCTGGCGCTCACCTGCAGAGCATACGATATCGAAAGACCCATGATGCCCGCGCTGAGGTTCTCCCGGGCTATGACAGCAAACAGGGCCGCGAACAGCACGATGCAGTTCCCCACGAACTCCAGCCGCACAGCCAGCCACCTGTAGGGGGCGGGTTAGGAGGAGGGTCACTCGAGGGGGGCCATGAGTCATGCAGCCACGCCCAGGGGCGGGGCCGGGTCGCCCACCTGTTGGCCACGATGCTGGGGTAGTACGCCTTCTGGTTGTAGTCCACGCGGCAGTCGCTCTCGGAGATGAAGCGCTCCTGGTCACCGAAGGCCCGGATCACGCTGGTGCCCAGCAGGGTCTCGTTGAAGTGAGTGTACACAGGGGAGCGAGTCACCGATTCCATGCGCTTCAGCTGGCGAGATGAAGCCACGTAGAAACGCTGGGGAAGGAGGGGCACGGCCCAGTCAGAGGGGCACCGGGACCGAGCCTGTAACCCACTAGGGCTCTCAAAGTTAAAGTATTAATCTTACATCATAAAGATTGATTCTGCTTTAAAAAAAATTGATTTAATAAAAAGTAATAGATGTACTAGATATACAATCTATAGTATCTTAGTACTGAAACATGGTTGTACAGCATATGCAGGTAAGGTGTGCAATTAATCCCCAATTAAAAAAAAAAACAAACACCACCAAAACACCAATAGCAACATTTGAAAGCCCTATTAAACTCTTGCTCATACTATTCCCTCATGGTAGTATCAAAATTAATGCGATCAGAGAACGTGTTTGGACCAAGACTGACATTAACATGCTGACACGATAGCTTTGACGGCCTTATTTCAAACACCAACAGGCAGAACTTCTACAGTTGTGCCATAGCTTAGGCATCTAACACAGCGTGAAAAACATCACCTATTATATGGAGCAGAAATTCTAGAAGTATCCAGAGAACACAGGGAACAAAGTGCGGGCTCCTGCACACAGGAACTGACCTGCACGAAAAAGTAGAGCAGCCCAAGGGGAGGGATGATGACAGCCACCAGGGGCGTGGCCATGAGGATCATAGCGCAGGAGCTGAGCACGTTGAACATGGAGCCCAGGAACATCTTGATGATGTTGGGGATGACCGAGTCGATGGTGTCCGTCTCCTTTGAGAAGCGGTTCACCAGGTTGCCGCTGGGCGTGCGCTCGAAGAAGGACATGGGGGAGCGGAGCACGTTGTAGAGCATGGACTGGTGGAGGTGCCGCGAGGCCAGCATGCCGCCGAGGGACACCGTGATGGAGTACAGGAACACGGCGATGCCTGCAACCGACAGTCAGCTTTCAGGGTGTCGCCACAAAATTGCCTGTTCTACATTTACACAGACTGAACAACGATAAGCATTAAGTATTAGTTTGGAGGAACATTTATATTTTCCAAGCTGAGGCATAAAAATAAATTTACACAACCAATATGTATCCTGATACCATAAAGTCCAGCCCAACCAAAACCGTATTCGAGTAGAAACAAACCAGGAAGAACGCATCACTTCCTGTAGAAAGCATTAAAGCTCCCGCTCTTCCTTTGAGGAATCAACACCTAGCACCTTGACCACGGGTGGCCAATCTTATCCGCAAAGGGTCAGAGTGTATGCAGGTCTTCGCTGCAACTCCCTAATTAGATTACTAATCAGAGGACTGATTGGCTGAAGAGTCCTCACACCTGGGATTGAACAGCTGACCTACAGGTTAAACCTGCATACACACCGGTCCTTTGCGGATAAGATTGGCCACCCCTGACCTAGACCGTGGTCTTGTCCAGAACCAGTCAAAGCGCATGTGGTATCCTAGGCAAGCTTCACTGCCAGCACCCCCCGCCCCCCGCGTCATAGCACCCTCTCAGAAGGTGGTGCCCTAGACCACCACACAGTCTACGTGGGCCAATGGGCTGACCGGCGCTGCTGTCGTCTTGATACTGTATCTGCGTGGGTTGGTTGACTGGCTCCGCACTCGCCGCTGGAATGTCCCAGGCTATTTTCCATAACCGGAGATGTTTCACGGCGCATTTCTGTACCTTGGCAGAGCCCCAAGGCGCCGTACACGCCCAGGCGCAGCTTGGTGTACGGCTGGGTGCCGTTCACCACGGGGTCATCCGTCCACAAGCTCAGCCAGTAGTTGGAGGACAGCGAGGCGACGTGGTGGCAGAGGAAGAGCAGGATGCTGAAGAAGGACAGGAAAACGCCAATGGCCTTCATGTACTCCCAGAAGACCGCCAACTTGACCTGGGGTGGGGGGGGCAACAGGGAAGACATGAAGAGCTATACAAAGATCAGGGAGGGATCGGCAAAGGTCCCAGACTCAGTTCGGATGGCTTACCCTGCCTGTGTTCGCCTTGTCTGCCTCCGTCAGCTTGCCAGCGTCAGCTGCCTTGTCAGCTGCCTTGCTGGTGCCCTCTGGTGGGGGTTTGGTGGAACTGCTCTGACTGCATGACAGCCATGAAGAAAATAGGTCAGCGCCCTCAAATAACTAATACTGGAGGAGTTAAGTCATTATGTTCAATTTTATACATCTCCTTTCATAACACAGTTGCCAAGATACGTAAGAGGAGTGTGAGGTAATCAGAGTGCTTTCCTCTGATCCACCACACCGTCCCCCACTCACCTCAGCATCCCCAAAGGAGCCCCATTTTCCAGGCCTTTCTGAGGGAGGCTCCCATCTGTGCCCAAGACAGACATTGTCAGGGTCACTCTTCACACTCCATAACACCCCCACCCCCCGAGCACCAAAGCCAAAACTCAAAGCAACTTCAGTTGAATTGCCTGAAAATGCTTTACATTCCAGCATCACCCTCTCTGACCACTAGGTGGTGCTCTGCAGGCACCTAATACCTAAAGATATAAGAGCTCCCTGGTGGATGTGGTATCGCAGCTGCACTGGAATATCAAGATCTGCAAGGACTGGAGCCACAACCTGCTACATCCACAGAGGGGGTCTTACTGAGATGGGCCACAGCTGCCTCTAACAGGTCCCTACTGGACATTGGTCCACCAGGGAATCGATAAAACAGCAACAGTGGCACATCTTAAACCAGGGGTCACCAACTCCGGTCCCGGAGAGCTACTATCCAGTAGGTTTTCTATACTACCTGGCTTCTGATGAGCCACACCTGTTCTCAGGTAAATACCAGGAGCAGGTGTGGCTCATCAGAAGCCAAGTGGGACAGAACACCTACTGGACAGTAGCTCTCCAGGACCGGAGTTGGAGACCCCTGTCTTAAACTCATGGAATGTTCCGGAAATGCAAATTTCAACATGCAGCATGTGCAGGTTTGCAAATGGCTCAAAGGGCCCCCAAAACACAGCACCCTCACACCTCCTTCTCTCCCTTTATCCTCCTGGTCCTCACTCTCTCCTTCTGGACCGCACAAGGAAAAGTGACAAGAACAATATGAACAGGAGAAATGGAAGGGCAAAGAAAGAAAGAAAAAATAAAAAGACAACTGGACAAAGATGGGGGCCGTGGGCATTTCCGGGGCCGGGCAGCCTACCCTCTGGCGCCTCCTCCTGTTCGGTGTTGGCATATGTCCTCAGGAACTCTGCAAAGGCGCCCTGGTGGCTGAGCAGCTCCTGGTACGAGCCAGTCTCTGTGATCTCACCGTCCACCATGACCAGGATCAGGTTGGCCTGCGGCAGGAAACTCAGGCCATGCGTGACCAGGATGCGCGTCTGTGACAAACACACACACACACACACACACACACACACACACACACACATCAGCACAACAAAACATACCCGCGACCCACCTAACCACAGCTACACACACTTAACACCAAAAGTGTATAATTCAGGTCCAGAAAGTAAAAATCCAGACCAAGATTTTGTTTCAACCAACCAGTTGAGCACCCTGTGGCTGCGACTCTTTATACTCAACTGGTTGGTTGAAACAAAATCTTGGTCTGGATTTGTAATTTCTGGACCTGAACTTTCCATCTCTGCTTAACACTTATCCAAGCTCTCCTGTATCCTTCGTTGTATTTATTGCTACTGGACAAAGATCCCCCCCAGGGAACAAAACTGTTCCATCTTATCTTCTTACTGTTCTACTTGAGCTGGATAGTTAATTATGTCGAAGCTGAAGTGGCTGAGAGGAACCATGTGCTCGGTGACGCCGGGGCCCCTACCCTGCCCTGCAGGAGCCCCCGGGGCCCGATGACTTCCTCGAAGATGTGCTTCCCGACGTGGGCATCCACGGCGGACAGCGGGTCGTCCAGTAGATAGACGGAGCGGTCGCAGTACACGGCCCGTGCCAGGCTGACCCGCTGCTTCTGCCCCCCGGAGAGGTTCACGCCCTGTGGTGACGACAGCGGTGAGACACGGGGCTGCCGAGCATGCCTGCTAAGCCCCTCCCACCAGCTCTGCTTTTACTAGACCGTCGGCCTGTCAATCAGCTGACACATCTACATGAAATACCATGACTGGAATGGTCCAGCCTCCTGACCTTCTCCCCGATCTCAGTGGCATCTCCAGCTGGCAGGATCTCCAGGTCAGGTCCAAGAGCGCAGGCCTCCACCACCCGCTGGTACCAGTCCTCCTTCCTCTCACGGCCAAAGGTGATGTTGTCCCGCAGGGACGCGTTCTGGATCCAGGCCTGCTGGGGCACGTAGGCCACGGAGCCCTGGAAGAAACCAATGGGGGAAGCAATTATCAGAGAGCGACGGCAAAATGGACCAATGGCGTGCCGTGAACTTAGGAAAAGGGGAGGGTCTAAGTAGCAAAGAAGAGGAGCTCTGGGCCAATGAAGTGTTGAGGAGACGGGAGGAGGCGGGACCCCGACGCACCTTGACTGACACAGAGCCTTCCTGCCTCTGCATCTCCCCGAGCAAGGCGGACAGCAGCGAGGACTTCCCAGAGCCCACATGACCCACCACAGCGACCAGAGCCCCCTCTGGAATGCGTATGCTGATCCTGTGGAGAGGTGGAGGGCAGTTGTCAAAACAAGGGCCTCGATGTGGAACTAGGTTGGGGGGTGGGCAGGGGGGCACCTTCTCCAAACAAAAACTCAGCATGTTTTATGGAAGCAGGCAATAAGAAGGACACCCACAGAGCTGCTGGTTACTGTTCAGGGAGCTGGAAGTCAGACTGGCTGCGGAGCCAGGAGGCAGCATTCCTTACCCCTTCAGGATGGGCGTGTCACCGCTGGACCAGCTGAAGACGCCATTGGCTACCATGACGCTGTTGGGGGCTGGGGGGCGGCAACACAGAGACATGGGACTATTAATCACAGTCGAGCTGGGACACGGTTATTGTTCTGGCAGGTTTTTGGTATTTTTACTGGAGTTCATGCCTCCTTCAGGCTGTCGGACTAGAAAACTGACCCAACCTGAACAGCCATTTGCACAAATACAAACACAGGCTGCGCTCTGAAACTGGTAGGATCAGCCTGGAGGGGTGAGGTAAGCCCTCGCTGTCATTCACTGCCTCCAAGCAAACGCACAGCACCCCAACGTCACCAGCCGCAAATCCAGAAGGCCATTTGTAAGATTAATTTCTTTTAGCTTTACTTTGTATTTATTAATGCACCTTGGGGCTGTCATAAAAGTCATTATGTTGTGTTACCCAATGACAGTAAAAGTGAATCACCTAAAGGGCCCCCGCAGCCACTGGTCCCGCCCACACAAAGCCACTGCCCCGCCCACAGCCCCGCCCACTCACAGCCAGTTATCCCCTTCCTGTCCACGCTGTCCTCCTCCAGCTCCTCGTGCGATAGGAACGCGCGCAGACGCTTCAGTGACACACTGGCCTGCAGTACAGGGAGTAAAGGAAATGATGGAGGATTCAGCGGAACATCTACAGCGGATATCCTTTAACGAAGATCTACCCTGAAGTCAAGCTGCTTCGCGAGTTGCTGGGTCACTGGGTCTGCTTGACCGGTGACAAATTAGCCCAGTTCCCTCTTACATACACACCGATTACACAGTGTTCCCAGTCTCAGATTATATACTGTGAGCTGATTGGCTGAGATTTGGCAGGAAGGGCCTCCCACGGGCGTGGCCTCACCCACCTGCACCATGCTACTGATGACCATGGGCAGCATGTTGAGGGGGAAGCGCAGGATGTTGAATAGCGCCAGGGACACGAAGGCCTTCTGGGCATCCAGCACGTTTCTCTCGTCCACCAGGACGTATACTGCGAAGGTGGAGAGCGCCACCTACGGGATGGGTAGGCAAGAACCGTTAGGTGAAAGGGATAGATACAGGATCATTCGCTTCAGATATTACCCAGAATGCACATGGATACTTGGGTAGAGCTAGGCAAACATGCGATTTCATGTACAAGAGTAGCAAATAATAATAATAATATTTATTATGTAGACGACAACAACAACAACATCAAATTAGGCTGATGGCCTCATTAACTCAGACTGGTGTGAACCTCCACTTCGGTGTGGCTGAAGCATACCCCCCAGCGCTCACCAGGAACGGCGCGCAGACCCAGGTGAAGGTGGAGACGGCGCTCAGGTAGGCGCTCTTCTTGAGCACGGCCAGCTCGCTCTCGCGGATCTCAGACAGCTTGTCCCGGAAGGCCAGCTCCCAGGCGTACAGCTTCAGCACCTTGATGCCGTTCAGCACCTCATTCATCAGCTTGATGCGACTGTCCTTGCTCTTCATCTGGGCCACCTGCAGGGGGGGGGGGGCGCCGCGAATGCACAGGGACAGCATCACGACCACATGGCAACTGTGGAGATACAGGATTCCATTGGCGCCCAGACTCAGATGACAGGCTGTCCTACCTGATACGTCTTGGTCTTCATGGCGATGACGGCATTCACCGGCACCATCAGGATCATCACCGCTACCCCGGCCAACACGGATGGACCCAGGTTCTGTGGTAGAGATACCTCCATTAGTCACCAAAAGCTGACCCATCCCACTCCAGGGGGAGATGGGCATCCTCATAACACAAGCCTGTGACGCCCTGCCCCCACGCACCTGCCACAGGAAGTACAGTGCCAGCACCACCTGCAGGGGGGCGGACCAGATCATGTTGATGTACGTGATGAGGTCCATAAAGCGCTGTGCGTCTACCGACATCAGGTTAACGATCTCGCCCACGGTAGAGGTGCGACGGGCCGCATTGGTGATCACCATGGCCTGCAACACAGGGAAAACATCAATACGACAAAGATTCACAGAGCTGAGGTGGGATGCGAACCCACAACCATGAAGGCCGAAGGCGTTGAGCTCTCAATAACTGGCCTTAAAACTCCTGTGGGGATTTTGGTCAAGTCAGCAAAATCATGACTGCTGAGATCTTCTGCCAAGTCAACTTCTGACCTCAATAAACGCAGAACGCAAAAACACACATGGACCCTCTGATGGAAGGTGGTTCCCTCACCTTCCGATAGATGGCGCCCACAACGGCGGTGCGGACCCTCATGCCCGTCACGAAGCACACGTGGAAGTACTTTTGCAGGATCAGGGTCTGCACACAGGCGCACGCGAACAACAGAGCAGTGTAGAAGTAGCCGTGCCAGGAGGGGATGCTAGGGTCGTTCACAAAGTTGATCAGCAGCCTGGTTCAGAAGAACACAGCCATCAGTTTGATCTCCTTTGAAGACAGACTTCTCAGTATCATGAGTTATGAATGGGACATGAAAATAAATCCAAAGCACTTCTGATTCCTGCAGGATTCCAGGACTGAATGTCTCCTGACGGGTATCTTATTGCATCGGAGCCCACAGCGTCCGAGAGCCTTACCGCAGAATCTCAGGGCCGACAAACATGAGGATGTCGTGGATGATCTTGTAGACGCTGCTGACCAGGAAGTATGGCCCGAAGGTCATGCAGAGGGCAAGCAGGAGGGACGGTTGGTGCTTCTTGGGGGGCGTGTTGAGGATCAGAACCTCAGACTCCTCCGGGGGTGGGTCGTCGCTCTTGGGCTTGGCCGGCCGTTTCGGGGAGTACAGGGTCTTCAGCAGGGGCCTGGAAGGGGAGCGGACAGGAGGCTGAGACACGCTGCCCCCTGCTGGAGGAAACTAAGAGTAACAGCAGCAGATCTGACCTAGTGTCCCTGTGGCACTCATTGTCCCAGTGATGCATCAGCTGTGGGACCACGCGCTGGGAGCGATCCTCGGCATTCAGGGACCACAGGTCCTTCTCCTCCAGGGGTCTTCTGAAGCCCTGCACCAATAGCCTGTGGACCAGAGGCAGCAGCTGCTCAGTCATGTGACATGGTTCAGTAGGGAAGCCACACTAATATTAATGATGCATTTTACAGAAAAAAAACCTACTTCTACTTCAATGAGAACCCACCCCCTCCAAAAAAAGTCTGAAATAAGCCTCTTACCCAGTGATCCACCAGAAGGTTATCTTAGACAGGAAGGAAGCCCCATCTTCTGGGCAGGGATTCTATGATTGAAGGAAAGGAACATGCCGAGTCGGATTCTGAGTTCTGAAGCCGGAAGAGACAACATGCACGGTCCCGTTTCTCGGAGATCTGAGAAATATCTCGGAGCAGCACAGACGATCCCGAGTTCAGAATCCAAGATGGCTGTGCCTTTTATCAACAGAAGGGAAAGTTATAGTTTTATACTGTTTAAGCACTACTTCTCATTTGTGGCTCATTAAATCGGTCGCACACACTATACCATCCAACTTATCTGTGGACGTGTAGCTACGGAGTTTTATACGTAAAGCACCGCACGTAATGTGTTATCAACTGATATTGCTAACAATGGCAATTAACCGGGCTAGAATTGGATTTCATGATGAGTCGGATTATTTGTCAGATTTACGGTAGTTTGGGCTAATTGTAAGTGAACGAAGATAAAGACCATTTTAACTGAGGTACCTTAAATACGACAAGTTGTCCGGCTAAGCAAAAAATCCTGCTTTTTGATATGGCTCCATGGTATTGCACTTGTGTGGCAGATAGAATGCATCCGACTCGTGTTCAAGATGTTCAATAAACTATATTCCCCCCCCACCCCAAAAGGGTAGAACGTGGATCATTGCAGAAGGGAATATGTGCTTTGTTTTCCATCTAATGTAAATAATATTGATGTTTTTTTTATTATTAGGGGTTATTTCTCGCGGAAAATGTTTAAAATATATGGCTCATTGCATACAGGATTACTCTGCACACAACGTTGCAACTTATACTACTAGATCGAGTAAGTTCTCTCGATTGCAAAGATATGCGAGTCATGTCTGTGTGTTTTACCTGTCCAAAATATTATGAGCCTGAGATTAATCGGGGAGAAAAATCAACACATTTCGCAATTATGGGGTTCTGATGGTTAGCAAACAGATGAATATTAAGCCACTGTGATAAATATTTAGGCGTTTTGATGATTGGTATTGACTGGTCTTGAAATAAAACCTAAAGTTCTCCATGTCCGAGAGCAAGACCGAGTCAAAATAAAGTTTCAAGACGAGACCAAGACCAGTCAAGTACAACACTAATATATACACAAAAAAACGTCCCTCCATTTTAGTCTATGCTCCTGCAGCACAAAACCAAAACAAAACCTACAGATGTCGACGAAAGTTATCCTGTCTTTAGGCGCAATTATAGTCTGCTTTCCTTCCCGTAGACGTTCACTGTCACACAGCAGCTGTTAGAAAACAGCCTTCCATTAAAATAACGTGACAATGACTCACAGTCACTTCTGTAAACATGTCTGAGGTGACACGAGGCTGAGAGCCCCATGATCTAACATGACATCACGTAGGGACCGTCCCATCTTTGGCTCAGCACTCCCGCAAACACTGATAACGTCAATATATTTCAAAGGTGGGAGCTGCAGCCGATTGGTGCAGGGCGGATGTGGGCTTGGCCTCACTTACGGGGTCCTTCACGCTTTGGGAGAAGAGGGGGGGTTGGTCTGAGAAGCAGGCCAGGATGAGTTCCACAAGTAGCAGGGCCCAGTACGTGTAGAATGTGGTGAAGCGGAAGATGTCCACGGTGTCCGGCTGCATGGAAACATAGAGGGCAAGAGGGTGATGAGGTCATCAAAGTGCGTCAGCATCACCAACTCCACAACACACCCAGACAGACACCACGTTAACCACAGTACCGACCCGGTTACTCTGCGGTCACGCGACCCAGACGTGCGCCAGCCCGTCCTCCTCACCTCGTCAAGCGCCTGCAGGACTTTGGAGCGGAAGGAGACAGAGGCACAAAGCAGCGCCACCAGCCAGAAGATCAGCATCAGGCCCGAGGACTGGACGCCCCGGATACGCTCGTACTGGGTCAGCAGGGCCGCCAGGAGCTGCCACGGGGGATGAAGGTCAGGGTTCAGAGCTTGCAGGTCAGGCCGGATTGTCTTATGAGGCTGGGAAAACTTTCCACCAGTAAGAAAGGCCACCCAAACACCTTCAGAAGATGAGGTCACCAACAAGGGGCTGAAGCTAGTATTTTACAAACCAGATGGAGTTGCCTTACAGCCAGTGTCAAACCCTAACCCGTTACCTCAGGCTCCTAGTAGCTAATTACATTATATTTACATGTCAAAGGGGTCAGATGTGGACAGCTCTCACCATGGTGACCCCCAGGATCAGTGGGCTGACCAAGTACACAGGCGCCCGGAAAATCCTCTGCTCTCTTTCCCAGAAGGAGTAGAAAACATCTGCCCAGCAGATAATCCACAGCAGGAAACCGATGACCTGGGGGAGGAGAGAACAAAGATTGTGAACAACCGGTATGGACTGGAATTAGAACACAACTCAAGAGGAGCGATTTGTATTCTAGGAAAAGGGAGCGGGGGTGGGGCGGGGGGCACACTCACAAATACAGGAGGTCTTTGATACACAGGAAGCCGACTGTTTAGTGACAAGTGTGTTTGGCTGCTGAATCAATTTCTGGCCTTAAAAGTGAACAGAGTACAGTACGGGGGGGGGGGGCACATCCCTGAGTAGAGAGCAGTGACACTTACAGTCTTGGCTCTGTTCAGGTGGGACATGCAGATGTACCCCCGCTGATGGGACTTCAGGTACAGCATGTAGAAGGGTGCGCACACCCAGAGGTAGATGCAGGGAACCAACACCAGCACCGTCTGCTGGAAGCACCGGGTCAGGTCTGGGCTGTGGGAGTGCCATGTCCGGTTCCAGTCCTGAAACAGAGCCGGCCAGGTGGGTGAGCTGACAGGTGGGTGGAAATGAGGATGTCATATGTTCCATCAGGCTGGCCTAACTGCTCTAATCCCACCCAGCAACCCCACCCACTACGGCATCCACAACTCCATCTCGACCATCAGCTCTGGAAAGCTGTGATCCCAGCGCGCTGATATTCCTGACTCTGCCCTGGGGACAGTCTTGTGTCACCACGACAACGTGGAAACCAGGGAGTTAAGAGTATCAAGCCAGGATGGAAGAACAAGGGGAGCGAGTCAAACCAGCAACACACTGATACAAAGCACCACTGTAGACTACACTACAGTCCAAAGTGATGCACACACGAGGAAGGCTTGGTCAGACCCCTGAGTCAGCCAGTGACCCTGGAGCACCTGGGGTTAGGGGTCTTACTAGGGCCTGATCATGTGATTACTTTGTCAGCCATGGGATTCAAGCCCACAACCTTCCAGCACATATTCCTAACCCTGTAGAGATACAGACTGGCCAAGCCATCAGGTAAATGGAAAGCTCTCCTCAGATCACACACAAATTCCTAAGCAGGCCCAGCCGGTGGCTCAAACACACACATGCACGCACCCGCCCGCCCACACAAACACACGCACACACAAACCTCATACACACACACAAATTGGAACTGCTAGTACCATATAAACTGTTTTTACAGCACCAACTACATCCTCAAACTCCCATTTGGCACGGACCGTTCAGGCTCCAGCTAACCCACATGCTTTAGGGGATTTCAGTGAAATTTAAGCACAGCAATTACACACGGAGGGTTGCTAAACCCACCCACCCCCCACCCGAAGCTGGAGGAGGCATTGTTAAGGGTGGAAGTCGCAGCAACAACAAACTCTTCAGGTTTCAAAAACCTCTTAAAGAAGTAAATAAGAAAAGAGGAATTAGCGCAAAATACAACCAAGTTTTCTTCCTTAAAATTGTTTTAAGTAAAAGTTTAATGGTTCCTCTGAGTCACAGGCTTCTCTAGTAACCTGTGCCAGCGGTGTGTATGTATGTGTAAGTGTATATGTGCGCGTTCCTACCACAAACTACAGACATGTGGCCCCAAAGAACGTGACTCACTCATCAGTGACATCAGACTAAACCTCAGCAACTGCTTCTTGTTCTTCCCATTTATGCAAGTCATAGCCCAACATCCCCGTTGTCATCAAACGCTATAGGTACATACCGGACTTTACCATATGCACGCATGTGAGAGCAGCGAACACGGGGACGTCGTATACCGCGACAAAAACACTTTTGTCATATTTGCCTATCAGACGGGCCGCTTTGCCCTTCCCTGACATGTGCACGAACGCAACTTCCTTCTTACCTGAAGCAAAACTACAAATCTGAGCATGCAAACTTTAAAGAGACCGGTCCGGACTGCATGCAGGTGCCGCGGCCCGGGACCGTAACAGTCGAAATGCCCCCTATATCCCGTTTACAGCGAAACGTCAGCTTAGGAACCGTCAAATTAAAGACATTAACACATCATGAATAACAATTCGGCAGAATCAAGCGGCGCCCACTTTGTCGTACTTAAAGTCTTTTTATTTGTATTATTTTAACGCTCCGTTTCCATAACAGACAGCTGCCACCGGCCAAAGGCCGAATAAATCATCTTAGACCCCCGGGAAGGGACCATTTAAAGCGGAGTGTGCATGGTGCACCCAGGGCCCCAGTTAGAGACCCACACGATGGGGAACCGGACCGGAGCGGACCGGCCCCCGGCGGCGACAGGGCGGGCCGCCGGCTTCGAGAACGCGGAGCGCCGCCGCGCCGGAAGCCGGTCGGCGATGCACACAGCGAAGGCAGCTCACCCAGAAGCGGTCCGAGCCGTCCAGGCTACAAAACCTGTCAATAGTCATAGGCCTCGACGCTTCACGTCCCTCTTATCTTCTCCCTTTTAAAATACTATTTTCCGACCCAGAGTAGCAGCTGGTGCGACGAACCGCCTCGGCTTTATACACTGCTGGTTCTGCGTGCGCAGCCGGAGGTGACCGAAGGGGGGCGCTGCTGTGCAGACTAGCTCGCGTACCGACTAAGCACCCTACTTTCACTATATGTACATATATCGCACTCTACCACTATCTACAACATTTATTTTTTACTACGAACAGTTGTTTTACATGATATTTTTTTTATATTTTTCAACAGGGCAAATAAAATCACTTTTATTACATTTTAAATATTACATTGCTGCGAAATGTTTATTGAACGTGCTACGAGCATGTCATCAGTGAAAAGTACAATACTGCGCATCCGCACCCCTCCCTTAACCTTTACCTCCGTAATGGGGCAGAAGTTAAGATGTTATTTGTCCTGGTGCCCCCTATATCGTTAATATAACTACTGTGAGAAACTCAAACGCTTACTCTGTATTAAGGCGCCACTTCCGCTTTAATTATGGTGGGTTTTTACGTAACATGTGATCGAGGAGTTTTGTATGCGTAAGTCTTAAAGGACCCTTATGAATATCAGTAACCGTGTTTAGCATGCAGTCGGTGAGTGCAGCTCGTCAGCATAAATATGGCACTTCAGTGACACCTAGCGACGGATTGTCTCCAAAGCGCTGCACGTTCTCTGCAGGGCTTGGCTTCGTTGTCTGGTGTCAGAGCTCCCCAATGTCAGTGGGCTGAGGGGGCCCAACGGTACATGTTGGGACCACCATAAATTGATGCCCCCTGAATTTGCCAAGTAATGCGTGCCTCTCTGACGCCCCTGGTACCCGGCATCGATTTAAAATCTAACGTACGATTTTTTTAAACGTTTTAAGCATACTTATAAAAATGAGCTACATTATTTTATAATCAGACCAGAGTTTATATGGTCCGATTATAAAAAACTTCTAACTTTCATATATTCATCTTCAAAACAGTTGTCCACCAGAGGGCGCCGTGGGCCCCGGGCCTATGCGAGCCTGCATAGGGCACAAAGCTGGCAATGACCGCGGTAAGCTTGACGCGCAGAGTGGGGGCTGGATTTGCACTCCCAGCCATGGAGCCGTGAGGCAGTACTGGTAGTCAGCGTGTATAATCAAATGTATATAATCAAAGAAATCCATATAATCTGTGGCTAAAATTACATCAAAATGTTTATTTAATCTGATGAGATTATAAAGGCAGCCATCATTAAAAGTGTTTGACACGACTATACTTAACCTCTATAGGAGGGGGTGAAAAGCAGCTGTTTCAGTTTCTACCACAGCTTCCTGACATAACACTTTCACGACTCATCTATTATAAAGATAAACGAAATGCAAAAGCGGAGATAAACTAGCCAGCAAAGACACTGCGCTAACGCTGCAACTAAAAGAAGAACTCTTCATCTGTCCTCTTTACAGTCCCAATTCTGGATATTTTCATATCGAGTGTTGATTTTCATACTATCATTTGACGCATCATAACACATTACCTAACTGACCATTTTTAATGCAAAATATAATCATGTAACTCACTGTTTATGAATTACTAATATTTGAGATACATAACAATTCCAATTCACCCCCTCCAACGTCCCCAGGCGGCAAAGGGGCTTTCAGAGATACATGCATATTCCTGCACGATCGCAGGATAGCCATTAATATAAAAGTACAGTAATGAATTAATTACTCAGCACGTAGTCTAAGGCAGGGGTCACCAACCTTTTTCAAACTGAGAGCTACTTCACGGGTACTGAGCCATATGAAGGCCTACCAGTTTGAAACGCCCTTCTAAACTTATCTAAACTTCATGCATACATGCTTTAAATGCTTTTTTTTTTAGATATTGTCATTTTCAAATCTGTATAAATGCAAATGTGATTAAAGAAGAATAGCAACAGGATAAAATAAAATTTTAGACGCTGCTCACTGGTGAGTTGTGCTATTTTTAGAACAGGTCCGCGGGCGACTCATGTGGTCCTTGGGGGCATCCTGGTGCCCGCGGGCACCATGTTGGTGACCCCTGGTCTAAGGAATGGCAGCTGACGGTAGAGTAGACGGAAATGTCCCTTTGTTCTCAAGTCATTCTGTAAGGTGCTACCAGGCATGCATAAAGGCATTCACAGTGGTGCAGAGGGGGGGGGGCACTGGAGAGGAAGGTCCGAGGCGTGGTGAGACACGGGTATTTAACCGCCGACTGGACTGCGAAGGGCTGCTGATCTGCTGCTGATCTGCAGAGGCGCAGTCGACGCATCGGCAACCTACTCAGCACTCCTGTGAGTATTTATACAGAACGAATAGGAATGTCACTCTCACTTTCTGCAGAGAAGCTGAGCAGATTCATTTGATTATACATTAGTCTACAAAATTAATTAGGCATAGTTTTTCATTATTTTGGTGTATAATTTAGTTAAGCCCTCTGTGTTTTAAGATTTTAAATGTTTAGGTCATTTTTACACATGGACGTTGCACATACTTAACAGTATATATAATTTGCAATGAGTTAGTTAATAGCTATTATTAGTTATTTTTTATTGCTAAAAGAAAAGTTTGATACTTTTTTTAACAATTTTGAAAATAATTGTCCATCCATCCATCCATCCACTCACAGATCCATCTAAGCGCTTATGCAGTACAGAGTGACAGTGAATCAGGAAACACAGGGCAGCGCTCTGGGGGGGGTGTCAGTTCATTACTAATGTTGGCGTTTATTACGAAAATATAGATCATCACATTTTAGTCATAGTGTTGATCCATTTATTTAGATACTTAGCACAGTTAGTTTGTAAATTTTGGTGATTTGGTGCTAATTATGCTGTCCTGGTTGGAAGAGTAACTGACCGAATTGTGTTGCACCTGCTGTTAAATGAAACTGTTGCATTAAACTCGTTAAAGCCTTTGGGTTTGCCCAGCTCTGCAGACTTCATTCTGTCTAACAGAAGCATGCTGCAAAAAAGCCTGGACCACAGGGGCCCTACCGCCCCGGACACTGAGCATCAGAAAGGGACAGTAGGGTTTTGGGTCCATGCCCCCCAGACCTCTGCAGTCCCCTTCACCCAAGAGCTGTGTTTTAGAGAACAGGGTGATTGTATCTCTTACTCTGTGAAGAGATTTTAGTCTTGAGTGGGGGTCTTCAGCCTTATGTACAGTGTGAGTGACTTCAACAACTACTTCAGCACAGAAAATTATCTGGGGAGGTCTGGCTGGGGGTGACGGTAACAGTTGGGAGGCAACGGTAACATTAATGTGATTTCTAATAAGTCAAGTCAAAGTAAACTTTATTGTCATCTCAGTCATATACAAGTATACAGAGAGATGAAATTGCAGAGCTCATTATTATGTGTGCAAAAATGAGAGTAAAAATGAAATAGACAAAAAATTAAACAGAAAGAAAAATTAAGGAACACAAGACATTGTGCAAGGCGATATAGGTCAGTGCAAAACAGATAAGTGATAAAGGGTATAAGTATACTGATGGTTGTTCAATAAGACATGTGTAAACAATGGCAGGTCAGAATATTTCACTGGAAAAATTATGTGTTCTAAGTAAGTCTCACTAAACTGACTGGTCCTTCTCGACTGTTCAGATAGACTGGGTCATCAAGAATCCGTCCAAAGAGCTTGACCTCGAGGCAGGTGCTCCGCCCAGTGGGTTCAGATGAAAGGGTTCGACCATAAATGTGAAACGTGATGGAATGTTCTGGGGCCTTGAAGACGCTTAACCACACTCTGGGTTTTTCATAACACCCAACACCAGAACCAGGCTGTTTTGAGAAATCGGCCTCCTTGCCCGCCACTGCTGTGGGGTCCTGAATGCTACTGAACACACAGAACAGCGTCTCTCTCTGTCCGCTTGGGGCTTGTTCGCTTATCTGAGCGTTTTTAATAAGATTGACAGGTAAATATGGAGGATATCCGTGTATGTCGCCGGGATGTTTGCTAAAAGGGCGACGACAGAGTGCCCGGGCAGGGAGACTCCTCAGTGACAGGGACAAATAAAACCCTTCCAGTCACCTGAGTATGGGGAGGAGGCAGGTGGTTATGAGGTCCTAACCCCAAAATACACCAGTAAAAGTTAACGTTATTTTGACACTATTGCTGACTATGCAGACTGAAAATTGTTATGTTTTGTTACAACCAAAAAAAGTAAAAATTCGACTGGTACTATATAAACTCCAGGGCAAAAAATGTGGGCAAAACCCAAACATTAAGCTGTGGCCCATTATGAAATGCTATTGTTTGATGTGATATGTCTGCAAACATGCCAGCCCATCTCAAGATGGCTAAGAAGCTTAGCAGCGTCTCGACCAAGGACGAGAGCTTCCTCCATCTGGCGCGAGACTCGGCGAACAGCCCCATGGCCCAGGCCGACTGGGCCGCCCGGAAGCTGGTGTGGGTCCCGTCGGAGCGGCTCGGGTTCGAGGCGGCCAGCGTCAAGGAGGAGCGTGGCGATGAAGTGCTGGTGGAGCTGGAGGATGGTGGACAGCAGGTGGCGCTGTGCAAGGATGACATCCAGAAGATGAACCCGCCCAAGTTCAGCAGGGTGGAGGACATGGCTGAGCTGACGTACCTCAACGAGGCAGCGGTCCTGCACAACCTGAGGGAGAGGTACTTCTCGGGGCTGATCTACGTGAGTATGAAGCCGCCGTCAACGGCCAGGTCTCATGAAGACAGCTAGATGCACAATCCTCCAAGCTCACGGTGTCACATTAGTCACCACAAACATCACTTTGAGGCCCCTGCTTCCTCACAGACGTAGATAAGAAATGAAATAAATAGCTAATGAGTGGCGTCTGAAGATCGTTGCTGGCTGGGTAGCAGAACATGCTGCTTCAGCATCTCCTAAATCAGGAACACAGCTGAACCGTGGCTGGTTATTCCAGCAGGTAAAATTGTCACGTGTCTCATTTCCAAATACTCACTTCTCCCCGTAACTCATCCAAGGTGACGTTAGCCCCCAGTCCTACTGCTCTTTCTGAAACGTGCATGAGTGTGTTAACGCCACTGAATCCCCCCCCCCCCGGTGCGCTGTGCTGTCCCGCAGACGTACTCAGGCCTGTTCTGCGTGGTGGTGAATCCCTACAAGATGCTGCCCATCTACTCGGGGCACATCGTGGAGATGTACAAGGGGAAGAAGCGGCATGAGGTGCCTCCTCACATCTACGCCGTCACCGACAGTGCGTACCGCAACATGATGCAAGGTGAGTGGGCCGGCTGGATCCCCCCCCCGTTGACACAGACAGCAGAAAAGGTGCAGGGGACGAATCTGCTCACTGCCCAGGCAGAGGCCCAGGGTTGCCAACTTTAGTCAGCTGACTGGCGTGAGATTTTCAATTCGAGACTAGTCTGCACGAACATTTACATGCATGTTACAGTTATTTTACCTTGTAGATAGTCTGTACCGATTGCAAACCACCCAATGCATTTGATGTAGCTAATTTTAGGGTTTATAATGGAATAACATAGATTTTCCACAAGATTTCACGCCACATGCGTGAGAATTGCCAGTCCTGGAAACCATTTCCATGTAAACAAGCTAGGTTAACCAGATAATATAAATCGGGGTTATGCTTTAGATTTTAACTCTCTGTTGATTTTCAGCATGTTAACTAATGCTCTGATCAGAGATGTGACTCTGATTCAGGCAGGGTCCGGTCGGTGCTGTAGATGTCCGGCTAACTGTATAGATCTTCAGTGGCTCCTCTGTGAAGCTCATGGAGGACACATGGAATGGGATTATGGGTATTCCACATTGGAATACGCCTACGGATACTTCCATCCGGCTGCCGTCGATGCCTCTCTGTAAGGGTCTTTTAATGAAACACGACACAGGCATCACGCTGGACAACCCCCCCCCCCACCAAAGCATGCACCAGCAGCATCAAAAACGTGTGATCACACGTCTGTCTCGTGTTGCGTGTCGCGTTGACGCTTTGGTGCCATTTTCACCCGCTCTTTCACAAACCAAACGAAGAGAGGTGCTATTTTTGCCCTGCTCTGGGAACTGTTGGCATCGTATCTTTAATGGGTCAGTTTGCCAGCGCACCACTGCGCTGTAAGATCGTCTTTGACTGGGTTTGGGGCAGGAACGGTGAACTCTGCCTCCAGATGCTCCTACAGGCTGCAGACGGTCGGTCTCTGAATGATGCGAAATCCTCTCCAAGGCGCAATTAGTCCTGCCGAAATAATCCTCCTTCCAAAAGCCTTCATTGGACACAGTGTCCCCCGGGTTCCATTTCATTACCCACGGAACCAGAAGCCGTCTCTTCCCTGCGGGAATCTGCTTTGCTACTTTAAAAAATAAACTTTGTTTATAAACAGCATTAAGTTCCTTGGGGTGACGGTGCTGTCTGTTCTCTGAGATAGAATTGGTGGCCCTTCCCTGCCCCCTGGTGGTCCACTACAGGCTTTATCTCGTCCCGCTCATCAGAATCTCATTCCCTGAGACAGAGGTAACGTCTATTTCATGCCCATCTGTTTGTTTATCCCCTACAGAACGGCAGGATCAGTCCGTCCTCTGCACGTGAGTACAGACAACCACTGGCACTCACTTCTCAGGCACTGGTGAGCACTGGTCTGACCGTACCGACATGTGATGGTTGTAAGCTGAATCTTAATTCGTTGTAACCTGATTCCAGTGCATTCCTCCACCTTTCCACATTACATCTGTACCCCTGCAGTGGAGATGGGCTGTAAAGCGGGGTTATGTGTAGGAGTTAAATCACTAGTAAATTACAGCCCATGCACTGGAATCGGGTGAAGATTCAGCTTACAACCATCACATGCTGGTACCGTCAGGTTGGTGCTCAACATTACAAGAGATCTAGGTGGCGTCTCCCTGTTTGTGACAGTTCAGGAAGACTTAAATGTTCAGGTTATTGTTAATAGCTCCCGCCTGACGTTAAAAAGCCCACTGTGTGCCAGCCGATCCACAGAACCAGGAGGGAGCAGCAGCTTGGGAGGATTCAGCCAATGGCAGCGAGGCTTGGGGATCTACAAATCAACTGAGCTGTGCATGGGGGCGGGGGATGGATTTCCCATGATCCTCGTGGGCAGCTTTGTAAACTTCTCGTTAAAAAGAGAACATTTAGCACATTTTAGCGAGGAATGTTCCTGTAATTGCCTAGTCAGGGTATTCCAGGTTAAGCAGGGAGGTGGTTTCTGAATAATTACATCCCCACCCAACCCCCAATTGATTCGTTTCACCCACAGAGGCGAGTCTGGTGCCGGGAAAACCGAGAACACGAAAAAAGTCATCCAGTATCTCGCTATGATGGCCTCGTCGAGCAAGGGCAGGAGGGAGTCCTCCGCCGTGAGTGTCTGCTATCCCATCTGCCACAGCTCCTGTGGGGGATCATAAACAGAGAATCACATGACAGAACAAACTGTTTACTCCTTAACATCATTATAGTCTCAGGGATTCTGACAATTGTAACAGAATTTACTGACATAACTTGTTTTGGTGGGCTGTGCGAAACAAATCTTATTTTAACAATTAACTTACATTTTATGGTTAATTAAATTACATCTCAGCTACATCCATTTTTTTGGACATTTTGGCCAAACGGGTCAAAAATGAAAAATAAAATAAAACAATACTAAAAGACATTTTTGTGGGACAGAACACAAAAGTCATCTTCTCTGAAGGTGAAAACTCACCCAGTAGTGCGCAGTGGTGGCTGCTCAGTGTTTGACACTCGGGTTTGAGGTCTTTGGCTCCAGTGGGGTCTGGTCCTTCCTTTTGAGCTACGATGCATCACTATTTGGGTCTTTACCCAAACCCAAGCCCTTCCCTAGGAGGGATCTATGTATGTATGTATGTATGGATAGACGGACGGACGGATAGATGGATGGATGGGCAGGTGGATGGATGGATGGATGGATGGGCAGGTGGATGGATGGGCAGGTGGATGGATATTTTCAAGCCCTGCTTTAGTGGTTCACTAGTGTCAAATGTGTCTTTATAAATGACTTCAATTTATTTTTCTTCATCTGAGAATGTCTCCATGTTCACTGTTCTTATGATGTCATTCTTTGATGCTAAATAACATTTGCATTTTGGTTCCATTAGGGGGAGCTAGAGAAACAACTCTTGGAAGCCAATCCCATCCTGGAGGCCTTTGGAAATGCTAAAACTGTCAAGAATGACAATTCCTCCCGATTCGTAAGCAAACACTCATATAAGTTTAAATGCCGTTTATCTTACAGTGGAATGTATTTTCATTCCAAAGGTCCTCTTAGGTACTGGTTTTAATGTACTGTCAAGATTTACCCAGCATGCAGCAGTGGGATGATGCTAAGTGACATCTTCTCTTGCTCTCTCTTCGGTAGGGCAAATTCATCCGCATCAACTTTGACGTGACAGGATATATAGTTGGAGCCAACATTGACACCTGTATCCTTTCACAGATATTAAGCAAGAGGACGAAAGCTGAGCTAAATCATCTGTCTTTATTTAAAATCCCACTTTTGCAGTTTTAACATGGTTTCTTATTAAAATCAAAAGAGTCACTTCTAGGGGTTTTGGTAAGATGATGGAATCCTCTGCTTCTCTGCTGCTCACCAAAGAAGCCTTTGTAAGAAGTGACATGGGCACAAACCAGCACTGTCCACAAATGTTTCCTCAGCTCTTCAACCACCACAGACCTTCTGGAAAAATCCCGCTGTATCCGGCAATCCGAAACTGAGAGATCCTTTCACATCTTCTACTACTTATTGGCTGGGGCCAAAGATAGGATGCGAGGTATAGATTTGTTAATCTGGTATATGTGTCCTGTTGATTATGTAGCTGAGATCTTTCATTCTGAACCTGACAGTCAAGGTGGAATCAGCCCAATTCTGTATGGTACACTTGTTAACCCTGAAAGACTTTCGTTGCATCTTGCAGAGGAGTTCCTGCTGGAGAACTTCAGCGATTATCACTTCCTGAAGGCAGGACACATACAAATCCCAGGGCAGCAGGATGATGAGCTGTTCACTGAAACTCTAGGAGCCATGGACATCATGGGGTTCACTGAGGAGGAGAAGATAGGTGAGCCTACCTTGCTCTCACCTCTGTCTATGCCTTGGATCACCTCCCTTCATGGGATGTCCCAAGACACAGGATGAGTCTCCCTGAAGTTCTTTCTCTGGAGTAGCTTCAGGGAACCTGAATTAGTAACGTGTGTTGGCCACCTGTGTGCCCACTTTAGGGATCCTGAAGGTGGTGTCCACTGTCCTGCAGCTGGGAAACATTGAGTTCAAGAATGAGAGGAACCAGGAACAGGCCACCATGCCCGACAATACAGGTGACAAAGGAGCTTATATTTATAGACAGTGCACAAGGTTTGTGGGCGAAGTCCTTTCCTTTAAACTGGTCTATCTTTCTACATTTAATATCCTGAACCTTGCAGTGGCCCAGAAGGTGTGTCACCTGCAGGGCATCAATGTGACGGATTTCACACGGGCTATTCTCACCCCACGCATCAAAGTGGGCCGAGAACTGGTCCAGAAAACCCAGACTAAAGAACAGGTACAAACTGATTCAAGTCCTTCATCAAATGACATTTTCATACATGTATGTTTAGTTGAATCATACTTTTGTTATTCATATTTCAGTACAAAACACTAGATATTCTCTGCCTCATTTTTCCAGGCCGATTTTTCAGTTGAGGCTTTAGCTAAGGCGATGTATGAACGCCTGTTTCTCTGGATTCTGACTCGTGTCAACAAGACACTGGACAAAACCAAGCGTCAGGGGGCCACCTTCTTGGGAATCCTGGACATAGCAGGTTTTGAGATCTTCAAGGTGAGAGCTTTCCTGCTGCCAGTCAGGAGAGGCCAGGATGCAGCATCGTAACCACAAGAGGCCATGAAGCCTTACATTGGTTTTTGTTAAAGGTGCAATATGTTCATAGCTGTGATGTCCCACAGGATAACTCCTTTGAGCAGCTGTGCATTAACTACACCAATGAAAAACTGCAGCAGCTCTTCAACCACACCATGTTCATTATGGAGCAGGAGGAGTACAAGAAAGAGGGCATCGAATGGAGCTTCATTGACTTTGGCCTGGACCTACAGCCTTGTATTGAACTCATTGAGAAGCCAGTATGCCTTGTTGGTCTCCTTCTCTGTTCTAACTATGCCGTTTTCAGGGTAATGTTTAACACAGATCCCTCTTTCAGAGCAACCTGCCAGGCATCCTAGCCCTACTGGACGAGGAGTGCTTGTTTCCGAAAGCCACAGATGTTTCCTTCGTGGAGAAGCTCATGAACACTCAAGGAAACCACTGCAAGTTTGCCAAGCCCAAGCAACTGAAGTCCAAGACGGAGTTCTCCGTGCTTCATTATGCTGGCAAGGTGGGAAGAATGCTGTCTTTCTGATGAAAATGCCAGAATCTGCCCCATTTTCCCAGAACGGGATGCATTGTCTTTGTACATTATCATACTTCAGTTTTTATAAAGTACCACATTTATTGGGATTGTTTTGCAGGTAGACTACAATGCCGCTTCATGGCTGACTAAAAACATGGACCCACTCAATGACAATGTAACGCAGCTCCTTGCCATCTCCTCCAGTAAATTTGTGCAGGATCTCTGGAAAGACGGTAACCTCCTGAACTAAGGCCATTTTTGTCATCAGTCATCTTGTTATTGGGCTTTATTATTTTTTTATTGCATTTTGTGTCATCATGTTTTCCATCCATCCATCTCCTAGCTTCATCTCTTGGACAGGGTCTGGTGATGCTACCAGGAGAAGCTCTTGAACTGTGTCCTTCCTCAGTTTTAACTATTCGCAAATCATGAGCCTTCTATTTGACCCTTTTCTTACAGTGGATCATATTGTAAAACTCGAGCAAAAGGGGCCCGGATCTTCCAAAACCAAGAAGGGCATGTTTCGCACTGTGGGCCAGCTCTACAAAGAGTCCCTGACCAAGCTTATGACCACCCTGCACAACACACAGCCCAACTTTGTCCGCTGCATCATACCCAACCACAAGAAGAGGGTAAGCTCCCTTACCCAGGGTTTCCCTTGGCAGCAGTGTAGACTTAATTATCTCTGTCTTTCTTGGCTTTTGTTTCTAATTCACCTCTTCAATGTCTTCAGGCAGGGATTATAGATGCCCACCTAGTTCTGGAGCAGCTACGGTGCAATGGCGTGTTGGAGGGGATCCGAATTTGCCGGCAGGGATTCCCCAATCGCATCATCTTCCAAGAGTTCCGCCAGCGGTTGGTCTTATGCTATTGCTGCAGAAGTGGATCCTCCACACATTCAATGTAGCATAACATTTGATGCAGGTCAAAATGCATGACACACTATTTAAATCTCCACGCAGTTATGAAATCTTGGCTGCTAGCACTATTCCCAAGGGCTTCATGGATAGCAAGCAGGCATGTTGCCTTATGGTAAGTCATAACCATGTTCTCCTGAAGTCTGCTTGTGCCACGACACTGGTGTCTTCAGAAGAATGCTTCCACATGACTATCCTCAACTTCCTTGTTCAGCTGAAGCACCTGGATATGGACCTGAACTTGTACCGAATTGGCCTGAGCAAGATATTCTTCCGTACTGGTGTCCTTGCCCAGCTGGAGGAGGAGAGGGACACTAAAGTCACCATCATCATTGTCGCCTTTCAATCCTTGGCCCGAGGCTCACTGGCCAGAAAGTGAGACAATTTTTCCAATCACCACTAGGGGAGCATGTCCTGCAGTGATTCAGGATTACCAAAGAGATGTTCCCTTCATGACTTTCCGGACACTATAGGATGCTGTACTTTTCCATGCATTTCTACTCCCATTTCCCCTCTCCAGGGCTTTTGCTAAGAGGCAACAGCAGATGACAGCCATGAAGGTGATCCAGAGAAACTGTGCTTCCTATCTTAAGCTGCACAACTGGCAGTGGTGGAAGCTCTTTACTAAGGTGACTAAATGATTTTAGATGCCATTACTTATTTATTTAGCCTTAGAGCTTTATCTTAACTGAGCAATCTGTATTCTCAGGTAAAGCCACTCTTGCAAGTGACTCGGCAAGAAGAAGAGATGATTCAGAAGGAGGAAGAACTCCAAAAGGCAAGAGATCTAGCACATAGAACAGAGGCAGAACTGACAGAGATCACCCTGAAGCACTCACAGGTATGGGGACTGAGCAGTCATCTGACAAGCTTGCCTCAGGGGTGGAGTCGAGGTTGATAGTGCACTCAGGACGGCTCTCTTCCTGGGTCGCGTAGCTGCTGGAGGAGAGGAATCAGCTGCAGGAACAGCTGCAGGTCGAGACAGAGCTGCACATGGAGGCCGAGGAGATGAGGGTACGCCTCGCTGCCAGGAAGCAGGAGTTGGAGGAGCTCGTGCATGAGATGGAGGCACGGGTAGAAGAGGAGGAAGAGCGGAGTCAGGCCTTAGAGTTGGAGAAAAAGAAGTTGCTGCAGCAGATCCAGGTTTCACATCTCTTCAGTAAAGGTGATGATACACAAGGCAACTTCTTGAGCAATGTTGCCAGGCAACTGCCAGCCAGGTCAGACAAAAGGCAACAATGCTAAAAAAAGGTGCCCTGAGTATCATCCCCTAAAAATGCTTGTTTTCCATAGGCAGAATTACACAGTACATATTAGATTGCACTTTAAAGAAAGATGGCTATTGCAAAACAGACCTGACCTTCAGAACCATAGAACTACACATCCATTGGTAGCAAAATGATGTTGACATGCTCTGCTCAGGAGCTGGAGAGGCAACTGGAGGGAGGAGAAGATGTCCGTCAAAAACTTCACCTGGAGAAGGTCACACTGGAAAGCAAGATGAAGAAGCAGGAGGATGACCTCCTGGCTTTGAAGGACCAGACTAATAAATTGCTCAAGGTGAATGCAGTTCCCATGTAACTGGAGGAAAGTGCAGTGTGCTACAGATCACAAGAGTTCAAGTCAGTTCAATTTTGATGACTATTTTAGGAGCGGAAGCTCATGGAAGAGAGAATCTCCGACTTTAGCATCAACCTGACTGAGGAAGAAGAGAAATCCAAAAACCTTACCAAGCTGAAGGCCAAACTTGAATCCATGATCTCTGAAGTAGAGGGTACATTTGCAAAACTTCAATGCATTTCATTTGTTACCTTTATGAAGTTCTAGGATTGTATATTAGAAACACATGTAATTTGATATGTGATTGTTGAGGGACATCTGTAATCTTTGTAGTGCGTTTACAAAAGGAGGAGAAAAGTCGACAGAACCTGGATAAAGCTAAGAGGAAGCTGGAGGCCGACTGCGCTGACCTTCAGGAGCAGATGGCTGACCTGCAGGCTCAGATCACAGAACTGAAGGCCCAGCTGGCCAAGAAGGAGCAGGAGCTGGAAGCAATCGTGGCACGGTGTGCCCTTTGGCCTATGATTCCAAGCAGATGTTTTGTGGTCTTCTCATTAAAACTGTGCCCTAGTACAGTTAGACATTCATGTGCATTAGACATCCAGCACCCTGATAGTACAGTAGCTTTACTAAATCCACCAAAGCTTGTTACAGATGTTGCACTTATGAACAGCAGCTGAAGGCCCAATAGCTGAAGGCAGCTCTACCCTACAGCAGAGGTGGATAGTTCAGGTCCAGAAAGTAACAAAGATTTTTTTTCAACTAACCAGTTGAGCACTTAGTGATGGTGACTTTTTATACTCAGCTGGCTCGTTGAAACAAAATTTTGGTCTGGATTTTTACTTTATGGATTTGAACAGTTCACCTCTGCCCTACAGCCTGGACGAGGAGACTCTCCAGAAGAACAACATGATGAAGAGGATCCGCGAACTGGAGGGGAAGCTGTCAGAACTGCAGGAGGACTTGGAGACAGAACGGACCGCTCGCACCAAGGCTGAGAAGGCCAAGCATGACCTGGGAGAGGAACTGGAGGCTCTGCGCTCGGAGCTGGAGGACACCCTGGACAACACCGCTACACAACAAGACCTCCGGTTACTACATGTCCCATAGCCTAATCTGCTCTGACAAAGAACAATAAAATACGGTAATAGATGGAAATATGTCAAGTCTTGTAAATATAGCAATGTATCCTCATCCAGGGCAAAACGGGAACAGGAGGTAACTCAGCTCAAGAAAGCCATGGAAGAAGAAGGCCGAACACATGAGGCTCAGGTACAAGAGATGAGGAAGAAGCACATCCAGGTGATGGAGGACCTTACCGAGCAGCTGGAGCAGTCTAAACGGGTACGGGCATAGATTTAAGAAACCATTTAGGTTCAGGTTTATTAGCTGTAGTTAAATTCAGGAACTGTATAGCTATAACAATGGTTGAACAATTGTTCAAGGTTATTTGTATTACATTGATTATGCAAAGTAACTAGATGATGGAAAACTAGATGGAAAAGTAGAGCAAGGCTTCAAGCTCATTGACGATCCCAATGCAGGCAAAGGCTACTTTGGACAAGGCGAAGCAGTCATTGGAGCAGGAGTCCGCAGAGCTAAGTGCAGTCGTCCAATCACTTACTGAGGCAAAGCAGGAGGCAGAGCAAAAGCGAAAGAAGGTTGAGGGCCAGTTGGCTGAGCTGCAGGCTCACTTCAGTGACAGTGAGAGGAAGAAGGGAGAGCTGGGAGAACAGCTTTCCAAAGTTCTGGTAAGTGAAGCCTCTGGTTCCGCCCCATACTGCCTCTGCCCCTGAGAAATCATGTGTAACTCATTTAGACCAGAGATTGACAAGATCAGTGACAACCATCAGAAAGCAACTAATGGCACGATTGTAGAGAGTTCTCCATTGAGCCAGTTTCTGTCCAATTCTTATAGATGGACCAAGAAAGCGCAACAAAACTCCTCAATGAAGCTGAAAGCAAGAATATCAAGCTAACCAAAGAGGTTTCCAGCATGGCATCCCAGCTCCAGGACACACAGGTGTTTAATTTGCTTACATGCTTGCCAGGCTGCTGGTATTTCCTCTTTGTTCCCTCTTAAAATGCCACCTTTGCACCTGAGAACCTTTTAGCACATTTTAGCATCTTTAGCATTATCTCCACTTTACTCCAGGAACTGCTTGCAGAAGAGACACGGCAGAAGTTGAGTGCCTACACACGGCTGCGTCAGGCTGAGGAGGACTGCAGCGGACTGCAGGAGCAACTCGAAGAGGAGACTGAGGCTAAGAGGAACGCAGAGAGACAGGCATCTTCTCTCAACGTGCAGGTGAGGCCTTGTTTTGGGGGTATAGTTGGGACAAGGGAAGAGTCAGGTTGAGCCTTGGATGATTAAGTGTAAATTTGGTGATCCTGGTAAAGAAGAAGCACTTTAGGATATCCTAAGCTAAAGCCTTGGGCCCTGGCAAACATCTGGGCCCCACTCAGCCTTGGGAAAAACTGAACATTTAGTTAAATTGGTTACATCTACGTGCCCATGCTGATGTCAGCTTTGGAGCCCCTCCCCCCAGAGAAGTCAATTGGCCCCTGAGTGCTACAGTTGAGTTTGCGTCTCCTCTGGTTTCCATTTGCCTACCTTTGCAATAAATGAGGCTTTTCCTCCCTGTGTCCCCAGCTGTCAGATGCTAAGAAGAAGATCGATGAGTTTGCCAGCAATGTGGAAGTTCTACAAGAAAGTAAGAAACGGCTGCAACGAGAGCTGGAGGCAGCAACTACTCAGATTGAAGAGAAGACCTCAGCATATGAAAAGGTGGAAAAGACCAAAAACCGTCTGCAGCAGGAGCTGGGGGACCTCATGGTGGATTTGGACAACCAGAGACAAGTGGTGTCCAACCTAGAGAAGAAGCAGAAAAAGTTCGACCAGGTAGGTCAAGAATTTTCTGAGTGTAGGAGATGTGTGCAGCTGTTTTGCCATCTCTCTGGCACCTTCACCCTCCCTGTACCTTTCAGGTGCTTGCTGACGAGAAGAGCATCTCCAGCAAACATGCAGAGGAGCGTGACCATGCTGAGGCAGAGGCCAGGAATAAGGAAAGCAAGGTGCTGTCACTGACTCAGGCCCTGGAGGAATCTCGAGACACTCAGGAGGAGCTGGAGAGGACAAACAAGGCACTGCGTTCAGAGCTGGAGACGCTGATCAGCTCTAAGGATGACGTAGGAAAGAATGTGAGTCATGCTTCTACTGCTGAGGAAGCTATTTGGAACTCAATGCACATAATAAAAAGTATTTGCTGAATTACTATCCACTGCATTATTTTGGTGAAATCTGGATTAAATACTTCCTCTCCTGTAGCTACATGACCTTGAGAAATCAAAATGCAACCTGGAGGCTTTGGTGCAAGAGATGAAGACTCAGGTGGAGGAGCTAGAGGATGAGCTGCAGGCAGCCGAAGATGCCAAACTTAGGCTGCAGGTCAACATGCAGGCCATGAAGGCTCAGTTCCAGCGTGACTTACAGGGCAAGGATGAAATGGGAGAGGAGAAGAGGAAGCAGCTGGCCAAACAGGTGCTGAGATGGTCTCATGTCAGCTATTTTGATTGAGGAGCTCATGGCTGTACTGGCCATTGACAACAACACTAAGGATAACATCAATATGACCATCATTGGTGCATCATTTTCATCCAGAGTAACAGTACATCAGATGGGTCCCTTTTTGGAGCTAAACCTGTAAGATTGTGGGCATAAATTCTCATCTGTGACCTCTCTAGGTACGTGAGCTGGAGACAGAACTGGATGATGAGCGCAAGCAGAGAGCCTTAGCGTCTGCTGCAAAAAAGAAGCTGGAGGGAGATCTGAAGGACATGGAGGCCCAAACCGAGATGTCCAACAAAAGCCGAGATGAAGCCACCAAACAGTTGCGAAAGATCCAGGTCAGAACCGTAGAATCCCATAAACATGGCCACTCAATAAAGAATATGTATTGTATTTTGGCATCTTCATTTGTCCCTCGCTGGCTGACCCATGTCATGTCTTGCAGACCCAGATGAAGGACATCCAGAGGGAGCTGGAAGACACCCAGACTGGTCAGGAAGAATTCCTGGCCACTGCTAAGGAATCTGAGAGGAAGGCCAAGGACATGGAAGCCAGCATGATGCAGATGCAGGAGGTATCAAGCCACACAAGAGAGCTTATGGTCTCTCAGGTTAAAGTAATATTCACTTAGAGGTTTTGATGATTCTGTGTGTCTTCATGATGTATCAGGAGCTGGCAAGAGCAGAAAAAGCTCGTAAGCAGGTTGAGACTGTCAGGGATGAGCTCTCAGCGGAACTGGCCAGAAGCTCTTCTGAAAAGTAAGTAAGACAGACATGCTTGATGTCTAATCTATGGAAGCAGGCCAGAAGGTAACCATACATGTTCTGGAACAGGTCTGTGCTGTCTGATGAAAAGAGGCATCTGGAAACAATGATCGCTGAGTTAGAGGACGAGTTGGAGGAAGAACAAGCCAACATAGAGACCTTGAATGACAAGCTAAGGAAAAGCATGCAGCAAGTAAGAACGGTCAAATCCAGAAGTTTGTCTCTTTTCCATACATGTTTCACACCACCTGTATGCTTCTCTTCTTTATTCTCAAGACAGAGCAGCTGAACAATGAGCTTCAGGAAGCGCGTGCCGCCATGCAGAGGAACAAGAGCACGCAACAGACGCTGGAAAGGCACAACAAAGAACTGAAGGCCAAGCTGGAGGACATGGAGAGCCAGTCCAAATCCAAGGTCAAGAGCTCCGTTAGTGCCCTTGAAGCCAGGGTTCAAGAGCTAGAGGATCAGCTGGAGCAGGAGAACAGGTGAGAAAGGGCCCCATCAGCCTTGGTACTATAACAGTTTTTATAACTGTTTTATATCACTATAACAGAGTGATATACTGTAGTTAATCTGGAGTGAAAGCCATTCTGAACAAACAAGCTTTCAGATAGGATCTAAAATCGGTAATTGAAGAAGGGGACCTGATGATAAACGGAAGGTTGTCCCAGAGACTGAGTGCATACATTGACAAGGTGTGGTCGCCTGTCAGCTTTAGTCGAGCTTGTGGTGTTTAACTGGGCTATGCTTTTTGGTATCCTCGCTGGTGCTCCCCTGTTCAGGGAGAAGCAAGCCACAGCCAAGATAATGCGTCAGAAGGATAAGAAGCTGAAAGACCTACTTCTCCAGACTGAGGACGAGCGCAAGCAAGCAGAACAGCATAAAGACCAGGTAGGGGGGCCTGCATCACTGGCCTAGCATAGGAGTTATGTGGCGGAAGTAGCGAGGTACCTGTCACATGTCACGCTGGTGCCACAGGCGGACAAAGCCACGGCTCGGGTGAGGCAGCTCAAGCAGCAGTTGGAGGATGTGGAGGAGGAGTCCCAGCGTGGCGCCACTGTGCGCAGGAAACTGCAGAGGGAGCTAGACGAGGCCACGGAAGCCAACGACACCATGAACCGGGAAGTCAACACCCTGAAGAGCAGACTCAGGTGGGCGAGTGCAGCCACTTTGGCTCATGCGGCGTCCCAGCAGCTTGCTCAGTCCTCTCTATCTCCTCTTTGAGTCCTTCTCATGCAATGCTTGGACGTCCAGGATTGCTGGTATGTGTCTCTGAGTTACTGTGATCCCCTTGACCTCTGTAGGCAAGCTGCTCTCTAACCTCTGCCTCTATCGTCTCTTTCTCCGTCCCCCTAAGTGCTCCTTACCCAAACACCTTGACATCTGCTCTCTGTTCCTCACTGGCACTGGTTTTCTCAGGCAGGGGAACGAAGCTTCCTTCGGCTCTTTTCGGCGCTCTGGGTCCAGGAGGGTGGGTGGTGGTGCTGGCAAGGCTGTTCTAGAAGAGCAGGACACCAAGGCAGGCGAGAAGTGAGGACCATCCACGCATCCTACAGCAGCCAGACCTTCGCTTCCTGTGGCTCCGAAACAGATACCGGCTCTTTCCCTTCCAGTCCTCTTTAAGTCTTAATAGATTCTTCTCATTGGATGTTTTAGCTGTTCTCTTCTAAACTGCTACAATCCCTTCATTGTTTGTATTACCGCCTCCCCCACATATAATCTACTAAGCCCTGAAATGCATTAACGTTCAAGATGCAAGAGTGACAGAATAAACACTTAAAATGAATCTTTCATGTGCTGTAGAGTGTTTTGATTCCTGGGTCTGAAAGTCAGTGATCTTCTTCAGTTTCCTGCAAAAAAAGTTTTTTTGATTGATAGATTTATCCAGCTTATAGAATTTTCTGCTTGTGTCCCTGTATTGTTTCAAACAACAATATTTGTGGAACTGCATTTTGGTTTGTACCCAAGCAGTGTTTCCCAAACCGGTTCTCAGGGACCCAAAGACAGTCCACATATTTCCTCCTACTGGGAGCTGAGAGGGAGCAAAAACTGTGGACCGTCTGTGCATCCCTGCAGACCAGATTGGGAAAAATTGCACTAAAGCACAATCCGAATTTCATGGGATATTCTCACATCAAGAGTGTTTTTAATGCACAGTGACATGTACTGTAGTTATATGGTACACAGCCTTTCCTTACGTGGCACTCCATTCCAATAACATCCCAGGCAAGGATGCAGAGAAGGAGCATATAAAGATCACCGATGTGATGCAGGAAGTAAATGGGCAAAAAGTACGGAAAAAACTCTCAGCTAGGGGTATCTGTGAAGAAATCTCAAGTTTATTCCTGTTTCTGGTATTATAGTGCTGATCTGCTAATCCGAGAGCAAACCTCCACTCTGAGTCACTGAATGTCAATGGCTGTCCAAGGACTTATGCTTCTCTAGACATTTCCTAGATGTCAAGCTCAGATGAATAATGGAAATCGAGTCACTGCAGGACCCCTGACACCGACGGGGGGGTAATGCAGAGAAACACAGGCAATTAACAACACTTCAGGCTGTTTTTATTTGTGTTAGAGTGCAGAGAGTTCAGCCAAGAGGAGAAGCCTCTTTCTCTGCTGACAATCTGGACGATAAACAGATTAACCAATGATGGCAATGGTGTCTAATGACTCCTGCAAGAATACAGTCATGTGTCACTTAATGGCGGAGGTACGTTCTGAGAAAGGCATCGTTAGGCCATTTTGTCGTTGTGGGAACATCGTGGAGGGTACTTACACAAACCTAGATGCTATAGCCTGCTGTGGTATAGCCTAAGTAACAATAAAAAAGTATCAGTATGTTAAATACATATACCAATAACATAGTTGTTTATTGTCATTATGAAGTATTATACCCTGCATACAATTGAATGTGCTACATGTTGACACTGGCAGTGGAATAGGGTTATTTACACCAGCATCACCACAAACACGCGAGACATTGCGTTATGACGGTTAAAACGTTACTATGCGACTGGAATTTTCCGCTCCATTATAATCTTACATGTTACAACGTCCATTATGATGTCGATTATGTAATCCGTCATTGACTGAAACACCATTACGCCGAAGCGCCACTGCACCCACCCTAACACTGCCTGCAGTGGTCCTTGTGATTTCCACAATTTCCCATTTCTCTTCCAGTGCCATGTGAATTATTAATTCATTCTAATGGCAGAATAAGGCCCTTAACCATCAGTGCCTTAAAGTGGACATCCAACAGTACACCTGGTCATCAGGGGTCAGGCTACAATAACTGTCAACCCTATCAACTACGCCAGAATGCTAACCGCCGAAATGAGCCCAGGTACAACGGAAAGACGTTTAATCAGTGGACTATATTTTATTCTGAGATGGAACAGAAAATGCATGATTAGCTACCATGCTGTCAATCTTTCATCTTACTGGAAACCAACACAAATCCTCGCCCACCCGCAAACGGGAGCAAGAACCTACGCCGGTTAGAGCATTTTAAACAAATGCACAATTGTCAGACAAAAGAACCTCGATGTGTACAACATGCCTGATGATGCAGTTTCCCGAAGTACCTGAAATGGACACCGTTGGCACAGAAAATCATGTCAATCGTTGAAATTATTTATAGATGAACAAAATGGTACAACTGGGTGAAACACTACAGAGTAAAATTTTGCAAAGATATTAAGAAAGAGACTGCATTACATTACAGATTCCTAAAAAGTGACAAGTCATTTCTGTTTCTGGACTACTTCATGCTATCATACAGAAAGTAGAGATTTCACTTGCTTTAGTAAAAACATGACAGTCGTGCTAATTCAGTCAGTGAGCTAATGTGTCTGTTAACGACAGGTTCATAAAGTCTATAAAAACTGCATAACGATCCCAAAACAAAAAAAACCTGCAATACGTACACACTGTACCGAGGCGGCCATCTGAAAGTGCTGTTATTGACTTTGAATTGCGCGCTCGGCCTGTGTAGGCAGGCTGTGTGGTGGGTGCACCAGCGCAGTCCAGCTAATGAGCCTGTTAGCGTTATGCTAATTGGTCGGTCTTGAACGCAAAGCACACAGCTGCTGCTGCTGGGATCAAACACGAAACTTGAACAAAGTACAGTATGATGAACAGAAAGTTTAAAAAGTTGTGCCCTGATAAGAACTCCCACCCCCCAAAAATATTAACCCCCCTCCAGTAGGAATTAATCTTTCTCCAGAGCTCACTGTGTGCACCAGGCCTGATACAGAGGTGACGGTGAAGAGAGACCAGTATCTGCTGATTGGAGGGTGTGTGGGGCGGAATGACGGGACGCGCCCTGGATTGGCCGGGCGGAAAAAGAAGTGGGGTCACATGATGACACACTGGGTGGCCCCACAGCAGTCCTTCATGAAGGCAGCCCCCGACTTGGCAATGGAGAACTTCTTGGGTGAGGGACCTGGGGTGACCATGTTGGTGTTCAGGAGTCCTTGGAAGCAGGAAAATAACCACGAGAATCCATTTCAGTCATATTTACTTAGCAGACATGTTTTGTAAGCAAGTGTTCATTGTACACAATCCAACTACTAAATATTAAAAATTTTAAAAATTGGTCAGAGATCCAAATTATGGTATTTATGCAGCAGCAATAACCACTGCTCCAACCTATACCTACACCAACAGCGCCTACACCAACAGTGCCAAACACCGACAGTGACTACTCCAACTGACAACTGAACCTATACAAACTGTACCCACACCAACAACTACTACAACAATAGTTACGACACACAACGCCTACACTAGGGCTGGGCGATAAAATGGTAATGATAATATTCACAATATAATTTTCTGTGATATGAATATGACAAATGCTCGATAAAAAGTATCATTTAAGACACATGTTAATGATGTCACTTCCTCTGTGTCAGGACCGGCAATGGAGCACAAGTGCAGACACGGCCTTAGAAACACTAACAGGGGATTTACTGAGCAAATAAGAGAATGCAATGTGGTAGGCAGACGGGCGGATGAAAGACAGCACAGTCAAAACAGCAGATCAGCCACCCGGGAGATCAAGTATGTCCAAAACAACCAGTCTAATACGGGAGCGCCAGCAAAATCCAAAACAAAAGCCCACAGCAAGATCCAGTCCATGGGGAATCCACACAGTAATAATGGGAGTCTTAAGTAAAATAACCCAGCCTGCTGCCAGTCACAGTGCTTTGAGAATGGACAACCTATGCACAACAAACGCACAGCAAGCTTAGCAGAGCACACCACATGCGACTGTTCTGGTAATACACGCGAGTCATGGGAGAGAAAAGCTCTCCCTCAGAAAGCGCAGCAGCCACAACACCCATCCATTTTCTGAAACTGCTTATCCTATTCAGGGTCATGGGGGTGGGGGGGGGGCAGAGCCTATCCCACAGGCCAATAGGCACAAGGCAGGGAACCACCCAGGATGGGGCACCAACCCATCACAGGGCACACTCACATACCTATGGGCAATTTGGTAACTCCAATTAGCCTCAGCATGTTTTTGGACTGTGGGAGGGAACCACAGTACCCAGAGGAAACCCCACGACGACACGGGGAGAACATGCAAACTCCACACACATGGAACCCTGGCGGAGACTTGAACCCTGGTCCCAGGGGTGTGAGGCAACAGTGCTAACCACTGCAGTAGCCACAACATCTTTTTAAAATCGATATTATGGATAAACCTGGAAAAAAGATCGCTTTGGCGGTACTCTGGCAATTTAGAGAAGCCTACCACACACAACAGCCTGGTGCTGCATATTGTAATTTCTGCCTAAAACTTGTGCCAACTAAGCCTGAAAATAATATGAATTTATTTCACCACTCAAAACATTGTCATCCAGCAGAACATACAGAATGCAAGCACTTACAGCACCAGCAACTAGTGTTGCAACTTTCAGTTGCGTCCTGGATTGGTTCAAAACGGGACACAGGATTTTATTTTTCAATACAAGGTGGGTGGCAACTCTACTAGCAATGCTATACCCCCCCCCTGTAAGGAGCAGCAAAGCAGTTAGAGAAAAACCCCAGCAATAACATGTAGTGGCGTATTGCTAGTGTTACGCCCTAGGACAAAAATATAATTGTATTATTTATTTATTAAAATTAGATTTCAGTTTGTCAGTTTTTAAATATTCTGTTTAAGGGGAATCTGTTTATAAAAAGGAATTTTAAGCATAAGAGGAGGTTCAAAGTAAAACGAAATAATTAATTATTACACCAACAGTGCCTACACCAATAGTACCTACACCAACAGAATCTACACCAATAGTACCTACACCAATATTACTTACACCAGCAGAATCTACACCAACAGTACCCAGGGGCGTTGCTAGAGATTTTGGGCCCCATGAAAGCATATCATATTAGGCCCCCCAGTCCAAACCAATCCAATTATTTTCCTAATTTTTTAGGGCCCCTGTCACTCAGGGGCCCTTGGAATCGTCCTAGCTTTCCTCCCCCTAACGGCGCCCCTGACAGTACCTACTCAAACAGTGCCTACACCCACCATTACTTTAACACAGTTTCATAAAATGGCAGCAGCTATGAACACATGATGGGCTCCTCCGCCTCACCCTGGTGCTGAGATTTGTCATCTGTGAGCTTTGCCAGTGGCTTCAGCTGGAATCCGAGGCGATCAGCCATCTCCTTATCCTCCTCCTGCTCCCTGTGGGGGAGGGACAACAGGCATCTTCCCAGTCATGGACAAATACTCACGTTCACACTCCCCCAACATAAAGAGTTTGGATCTTACAGCCTTTGTTGGATGCTTCTAATCCTCCTTTAAACATGAACCCTACTGACACGTTCATAAATATTTGAAAACACTGAGAAAATGTACAAAATGGCAAATGACAATGTTCTGGAAAGTTCTTCTTATGTTTACTGTTAGGTGGCCTGTGGGTGGAGGCCTCTACTAAAACTTCTCCTGCCACAAGGAGTCCTTGGGGAACTTGGCAGTGTTCCACAAAGCAGGATTTCTCAGTTAACTGGGCTAACTTAAGCTAGAAGGCATGATCGTCTGATAAGAGTTCAGGTATAGAGCAACGATCATGACTTCTAGCTTAAGTTAACCCAGCTAACTGAGGATCATTGCTTTGTGGAACACCCCCTTGTCTTCCAGAGTTTGTTAGATAATTTTGCCTCCTTGGAGTCTAATAGTGACTCTCTTGTGTTTCTGTTTCTGACTTCAGCGCAGAAATAAGAGCCGACCTCAATCTCTCCACCTCCGCGTCATCCACAAGAAAATCCCTCTTCTGGACGAGCTGATGGATCCTCTGAATCAGCTCGTCTTCCTTCTGCTTGTCTGTCAACGTTTTGTCCTTCTCTGAAAAAAATGGGAGCTGCTTATTGGACAGTCACAGCATGTCCATAAACTTACAATTTATGTGCAAACTACTCAAGGGAAGCAGCGAGTTTTTATTGCAAACAGAACGTGTCTCCAGGTGAACATACTGTCAAAAAAGTCACAAAAACGGCCAGTAAAAACTACTGCATATTGATTAGTTTGCCAAAGCATGATGCACAGATATAAGTACAGTGACCAAATCAGTTAATATAAGCATTACCAATGTGAATTACATCGAGATTATCTTGTGTATGCAGAGTAATCACCAAGGCTTTAGCTGGAGGGCATAAACATTGGCCAGACCCCAGGTTTTTGGTACTAAACAGACATTTATTTGCGCCCACAATTCGGTAAGCAGATTATTAGTAGACCTAAAGTATTAGTGAGAGGTGTTTCATGATGTGGGGCAGCATAGTTGCACTGTTGCCTCATACCTCTGGAACCTGGGTTCTAGTCTTTGCCAGGGTTCCATGTGTGGAGTTTGTATGTTCTCCCAACATCATCCTGTGGTTTCCTCCAGATACTCCGGTTGCTCCCCACAATCCAAAAAGAGGCTGAGACTAATTGGGGTTGCCAAACTGCTCATGTGAGTGTGAGCGTGCCCTGTGATAGGTTGGTGCCCTGTGATGGGTTGGTGCCGTGTGATGGGTTGGTGCCCTGTGATGGGTTGGTGCCGTGTGATGGGTTGGTGCCCTGTGATGGGTTGTTCTCAGCCTTGGGCCTGTAGCCTCCGGGATAGGCTCTGGACCCCCTGTAACCCTGACCAGGATAAGCGGTTTCAGAAAATGGATGGATATTATGATGCCAAAAAGTTAGTAATCTGTGTAAGTTTGGTGCATCCTTAAGTTTAATAAACATGTCGGACTTAACAGCGAAAAGTTCCGCCACAACACAGACGTCGTTTTACCTAGTTTAACCACAACATCTCCTCTTGTAAAAGTTGTTGAGGCTGTTGAGCTGTTACTTTCTTCACCGCCACTTCAGTGCTCATCTCTTCCATGATTTACCAAAAGAGCAGTATGTAAAGTGCTCTGCTCTGTCCTTTTTTTTTACTGTCTTTTTTCATTATTGCTGCTGTTTCTCAAAGAATTTCCCCATTGTGGGATTAATAAAGTCTAATCTAACCCAAATTTAATAAACACGAGGATACACCGAAAGTACACAGATTACTAATTTTTGGGTTTCATTTATATTTTAATTGTACTACTAATCTGCTTACCAAATTGTGTGCGTAAATAAATGCCCATATAGTACCAAAAAGCTGGCATCTGGACAAATGTTTCTCCCATCATCTAAAGCCATAGTAATTATTGTGCATGCACCATATAATGGAGATTATATCATGATATCGAGCAGCCCTAATGTGATGATATAACTGATGATGATTACTAAATCACAAAAACTTATAGCCAAGGTTTAGCACTGGTCAAAACCCATGTGGCTCTCGAGGCAAGCTTCACCACTGTCACCTCTCATTTGAGACAAAGTGACATTAGCTTGCTAAGCCAGCAGTCCCCAGAAGGTGGCGCCCTATGTTACCTAATGGGTTGACTGTCACTGCAGGGCCAATTTGCATACATCTCCCACGTAGTCTTACCAGGTACAGCCATGATCTTCCTGAGCTCCTGTTTGAGGGCCATGATATCCTTGCACAGGTGGATGTCATCCATCCTGAAGGAGAAGGACACCTGGCTGAGATTAGGAAGGGGCTGATCCACATTTTTCAGTTCCAATCCGATTCCGATACACAACTGCCGATACCGATTGCAATAAAAGAGCTTTTTAAATATTTTAATATAATAATATATTAAAATTAGTAAATACAAATGAAAATATGTATGCCAGAAAATCTTTTATTAGGCTACTAGAAAATACATAACGTACTGTTCCATGGCGTTTGTACGTCTTGTTTTAAGCGTTGAGACATTTGTGGTTCAGTTTGAATATCTTCCACTTAGATTTTGCTGCGATCGCAGCTCCTCATGTATCACAAGCTTTAGCGAGTGTGTAAAACAGCCGAAGCTAGCCACTCCCAAATCATCTGTTGCTTTTTTCACGTTACTCACATTGTCTCTTACAATTGGGCGCTTTGTTTACTGGGATTTTCCACTAAATGCTACTCTCACCTTTCAAAACTTCGTTTTTTACAAAGATTGCAAATCATTGTGCTACTAGTTGCTGTTAAAAGCGTAAAATACTTATGTCATGCCCAGCTCCGTACGATCCTCATGTGTGCCACGCCCCCCTCATTACCTCGTGTGAATCCCCGATTGTGATCACCTGCTGCCTGTTATGTTCAACCTATCTTGTGCATTTAGTCCGTGTCTCAGTTAGTTTCCCCAGATCCGTCATTGTAGTGTCCGTGGATGTCTCTACCTGTCTGTCCTTTGAACCATTAAACCCCTGATTACCCGTAAGTTCGGCTTGCTCTCCTACTTCCCTGCTCGCCTTCTTCCCCGAACGTGACAACTTACAGATCGACACTCTCTTATCTGATGTCCGTACGCTCCCCCTACTGCAAAGGGTATGCGCATGATGTCACAGCAGGCGGAAGTCACTGTGCTCACACCCAGAAACAGACTGAGTGGCAGCATTAGCGTTTAGCTTGAATGCCACAAAAGACACATCTAAAATGGGAAAGAGCCGTTCTGCGATTGATTGCACAAATCAATTTAACAAGAAATAGGAGCTGTCTTTTTAGAGACTGCCAAAAACGAAATAACCGGTCACATATGACCAATACCCAATCTGTCTAATAGGTATGAATCGATGTCAATACTGATCTCGAACGTCGGATTAGTGCACCTCTAACTGAGATGCATGCCATGTAAACAGTAAAGTCCCAGTGAACCAGCAGGAATTGAGGGTTAGGGTTGGAGGGATGGGGGGGTCAGGATCAGCTCCGCTTTGAGGATACAGAACAGAATGCACTAGAAGCAGCAGTAACAGCCCTGAAACTGCAGCCCTGTGTGGCTTAGCAGATTAGCATGCTGTGCCTATCATCAGAAGGTTACCAGATCAAAACCCAGAGCTGGCAGAGTGATTTCATCATTTGGCCCCAGAGCAAGGCCCTTAACCCCAGTCGCTCCAGATACTGGCTAACCTGATTTACTCAAAAAAGTATACATCGCCTTGGATAGAAGTGCATGGCTTTTTCTTTAATCAAAGCAGGATCGAGCAGCACTCCAGTCAGACATCAAAGAACATCTCTGTACAACCAAAGTGCAGACATGAGCCCGTCAGCCCCGGGGCGAGACGTTCCAAAGGCAGAGTACCGCCCCCACGGGTCCTCACAGCCTTCCCATCCCACACACCGGCTTTGGGAATCCCTCTCCGGCTCGGCTGCCAGAACATTCCTTCGTTTCAGGCAGCAATCCGGGCCCCGATGACTCATGCGCTCTCCGGCACGTCACAGGTCTCTGCGGAGCTGCACTCTCATGACACACTTCTTCAGCAAACTGTTTCATGCTCAGCCTATCCAGTTGAAAGGCTCTACCCATCACAAATTGCTGAAATTTTCAGTTTCATAAACATTCATTGGGAAGAATTTAAAATAAATCAGCTCACTTCTACCAGCAGGAAAAACTAGTAGACATGAACATAAGTGACATCCTCAGCTGGCAGTTTAAAAAAATAATTTTATTAAAAGCACATGCTCAGGTGAATTGGAGTTACCAGTGTGTGTGTGTGTGTGTGTGTGTGTGTGTGTGCACTGCAATGGGTTGGTGCCCCATCCCAGGTTGTTTGCTGCCTTGTGTCCCCCCCCCCCCCCCCCCCCCCCACCCACACACACACACACACACACACACACACACAACCCTGAATAGGACCAGGAGGTACAGAAAATGCACAGATGGTTTTGTGTTCTGCTGTACGATGTCTTCTTTGACAATGTTTCACTTAAACGTTTTTACTGCAAGTGCAACTTCACTGCGACACATGGTAGGTGCACTTCACTGGACCGTAATCTGAACCTCCTGCAGAGACGGAGCCAATGTATTCAGACACAGTCCTACTGTGTTAACTTTGTCATGAGCCGTAATTAACACAACTGAGCAAGCAGCTTTGCTGAGAAACCCCAGGATGTTCTGCTTGATGTCAGGAGTTTGAATTCAAACCACATCTTCAAAGCAGATACTGGAGGCTAATTATATCCAATCAGCAGCCAGCCGCAAAAGCTGTATCAAGCACACGTCTCTAATGCTGTTTCGAAGTTTAAGTGGTCCTCTACCAGCCTTACATGAACGTTAGCCAGATGCACACACGAGCTGCTGCCCGGTCAACCATGGAATTAATTGCTCTTCAAGGTCAAAGAGCACCGAAGAGTTCAGACGAAAAGCTACGGCGCAGAGCGATGAGGAGCCTGTAAGCTGCCAGGGATCTGCTGCCAGGTACCAACAGAGCGGCTAATGACCGGACGGCCGGACTCGCATTAAAAACAAAGCGCCGGTTAATTTCCGTGTGGACCCGCCCTCCCCTCTTCCTCTCCAGCAGTGGAAACACGTTTCACTGTCTTTTCCACTACGCTTCCCAGATCTGCTGCTGTTCCATTTATCTATCGTTCCATTTTCAAAAAGTGCCGATCCAGTCTGAATCACGGGAGGTTCACCATGGAAGAAGGTGACATGAACCAGGACAGACCTCAGACAGATCGGCTGTTCACACACTGCTCGGGGCAGTTTTACTTACACAAAAAATGTTCTGAGAGCAGAATGAAAAACGACTGATTCAGATAGGTAACCAGTTAGATTGTGGAGGAAGTGGGTTCAAGCAACTAGAAGAGGCGGGACCAATACATTTAATTGGTTGGTCCTGCCTCCTCTAGTTGCTTGGGCCCACCTCCTGTACAATCTGATTGGTTATCTCTCTGAGCCAATCATTTTTCCTTCTGCCCTCAGAACAATTTTTTTTATAACTAAAACTCCCATGAGCTCACACACCACGCTATCCATCTATCAAACCATCCATTCCATCCATTTATTTACACAATGGATTAAAATGAGTCAGCTTAACCACTGCATATGAGATGTAAGAGAACCCCATCAACAGGGTGAACGGAAACACACACAGGGAAAGCATCCAAACCCATGATTTATTGGGGCGGGGGCTCGTGGATCGTCTCTAAATGTTTTCAACAGTACTGAAGCCTGACATCTTTCCCAAACCCTCACCATCGTCTTCCTCCTCTCAAAAACAAATTCACACTCAAAAAAATTATGCACGGTTTGAGTGGTGGTATAAACCCAGAGAGTGCCACTAGCAGACATCACCGTGTCAACTCACATGAAGCGCAGCTCGGACTCACGGCGCACCAGGACCTCGCGGAGGCGCTGGACTCGCGCCATCTCCGCCTCCAGCTGCTCCGGCGACAGGGAGTTCTCCGACATGGACACCGTGTCCGGCTGGGCTGGGACAGGAATAGCATGTGCCGGCGTCAGTCAGCTGGATGCTGGAAGTGATCATGCCCCCCCCCCACCCCCATCCTACGCCCCTGTGCTCAACATCCGAAGGTGGAGGCACTAGTGAGATGGGATGTGACGGAACATTTTCATGGTGGAGGAAGGGGAGTTGCATAAAGATTACTAAGCAGGTAATAAAAGTCGAAAAAATATTTATACTTTATATTTATGCTGTAATTAATAAGCACAGAAACACAATAAAATAGTCCAAGGTCATGTGTCTGGTTGCTGCAAACATGCCGGATGCGATCATTTAAGCGGCCGCTGCCGCTTCTGTGCGGTTTAATTTCCCCAGCCATCAATCCCCGGCTCGTAATCGCATTTGTCCCCGGCCTGCAAATTCATTTGGCTGGTGCTGAAAACGCCAGTTGCCCCATCGCTGGGCGAAATCTCATTTATGTACTCCTCAGTGGTGGGACTCAATTACCATAGGCATAAACAAACTATTAATTAGAGATGCAGTTACAGGTGCCCATTGTAGGATCCACAAAATGTAATGATCCACAAAAATCAAACGTAGTGTTCAAAAGTTCCTTACGGGTCCACTGTCGAATTAGCCTAAATACTCCAACAGCCCACCCAACTTACACATGTACAGCTTGCATTTTGTAAATCCCATCACTTTGCCGCTAATTGCACATTGTGGATATTTATGATTATTATTCATGTTTATTGACTCATGTCTTGTCTCTCGATACGCATGAGCCGTTTTTAATTACGTCTCGCAAAATTATGTCCCCTGTTTCAGGGATTGAGCTGGGCGGCCATGCATTTCACTTCACAACGCCGCGAGTATAACTGCGTATGCGACAAATAAAACTTTTATGTGACTTTGACTTCTTAAGCACCATCTCCTATATATATTCGCACCCGTAGAAAGACATTCCGCCTGTCAGACTGATGTAAAGCAGCACGGCAAAATGTAAACAGCCCTGCCTGCCCCTGTGCAAGCCGATATTAACGTCACGCAGGTATATGGAAGTGCAGTCCGTCCGCCCTAAACCATTAATGATAGGCTGCCAGAATTAAATGCCTTGATCGAACGGCGACATGTCCGTCTATACAGTCTCCACGTTCTGAAATGTTAGTTGCATCACCTTTTCTTACTGGAATCCTTTTTAATACTAGTCTACAATTTCCAACTACCAGCGAGACCACGGACGGCTCAAGCAAAGCGCCGTTTTGCTGCTGCTCAGGCTAAACAAAGCAGCCGCTATGCATATTATACTGAGGTGCACAGAGAATAACATGCGGCTCCCCGTCAGGTTCAACTACAGAGCAAAACACACAAAGGTGCTCCCAGGATAAGCTGACTGGCACTATGTGGACACGCCGCAGGAACATGCAGCGTATCCGTATTGTTGCATATTTAAGCCATTAGCGCTCTGGGTGGCTCTCTCTATGCCAACCATGGACAGTAGTAGGAAAAAAACAGCCTATAGCCGGTCCATGTTTGACGTTATATGGACGGTCAAAGCGGTTAGTGCGGTCTGATCACTAAACGGTACATTATTATTGTATTGCAACTCGCAGCACATGCAATCACAGTGTGACAGCATCCTGCTGACACGCATAGAAACGAAAACAATATTTACAGCCCCCTTTCGGACATATAAATCGGGCTATTCGTTGCTCATAATCTGCAGGATGCTTTGGGATCATGCAAGCCCTGATGCTCACATTTGTCTCCCGGCCACGCAGTCGTCTGCACGGATCCGTAGCTCCTGGGCGGTCGGCTGCTCTCCGAAATAGACTTCTTCATTTCCATGACCTCCGCGGGTGTGTTTTTCGTTAAATATGCCTCATGCAGAGGAGCCGGACTCGCAGTGAGATTGCCGTGGTGTTCAGGAGCGATCGGTGTCGCGTAATGCGTCCCTGCATCCGTGCACCGTATCCTCTCTCTCCCGTGAACCGGGGCACACTGGGGCTGCCGCGCAGATGATGCCTACAACTCCCGGAGGGGCCACGGCGCCTGCGTCGAGGGGACTGCATAGTAGTGATGCGCGGGTCGTCTCGTAACCCGCGGACCCCGCGGGTAACCCGCGGGTCGGGTTGGGGCGGGTAAAGAAATTGTCACTTTATTTGCGGGGCGGGCTGGGGCGGGCCAAATAATTTCATAAAAGCGGGACCCGCGGGTTGGAAAAATACTCGACCCGCGCATCACTACTGCATAGGGGAAAGCAGACAGCGCCCCTACATGCAACCACGCAAGTCGAACTTAGGGCATATGAAATAAAGCCTTTTAGATGTCTGGTGAATATGCGTCAGATTTATACTCATCCGCAACCAGGGCTGTGATCTACAGGTTCAACACTAATGCAATAATATTACAGAAAAATTGGCAAGTTTGGTCTCCGGTCCTCTGGAGTTGTTTGTTCGCCTTATGCTGTCCAAAGGATGCTGGGTCAGTGAAAGTGAAAGGCAGTTTCTAGGTGACCACTTGGGTTGCTGGACAGCAAATTCCAGGATGTTTTTTGATGTCAGTCCACCCCTGTGTTGTGCTTTTAACAAATCTGTCCATAGCAATAGCTGTAAAACTTCATCATTAACTTTATTAGAAATAGCTTTGAATCCGTACTGTGGCTTCCCTGAATGGATTCTATTTTTTTGTGTTGCCTTTCTTGGGGATCTCTCTAGGGGTCAGAATTATTGATGTATTGATAATATTCTTAAGAGCAACATACATTCACTGGCCACTTTATAGGGTACACTTGTTCAATTGCTCTTTGAAGCAAATATCTTATCAGCCAATTATATATCCGCAGCACAATGTATAACATCATGCAGATACAGGTCAGGAGCTCCAGTTAATGTTCACATCAAACATCAGAATGCGGAAAAAAGGTGATTTAAGTGACTTTGAATGTGGCATGGATGTTGGTGTCAGATGGGCTGGTATGAGGGTTTCAGAAACTGCTGATCTACTGGGATTTTCACGCACAACCATCTCTATAGGTTTATAGAGAATGGACTGAAAACAAAAAAACATCCATTGAGCGGCGGTTCTCAGTGTTGAAATACTTGTTGATGACAGAGGTCGCAGAAGAATTACCAGATTGCTAAGCGCTTCTGGTGAAGAAACAGTAACTCAGATAACCACTCGTTACTATCACGGTATGCAGAAGAGCACCTCTGAACACACAACATGTCAAACCTTGAAGCAGATGGGCTACAGCAGCAGAAGACCGCACTGGGAGCCCCTCCGTTCAGCTAAGAACAAGAAACTGCAGCTACAGTGGGCATAGGCTCACCAAAATTACACACTGGAAGACTGGAAAAACTCTGCCTGCTCAGATCAGTGTCCTGCAGTGACATTCTGATGGTACAGTCAGAATTTGGCATAAACGACATGAAAGTGTGAATGTATTGTGACTTGTATAAACAATTCATGCTAGTGTTGGCGGTGTAATGGTGTGGGGGATATTTTCTATGCACGCTTTCAGCCGCTTAGTACCAAGTGTACATGGCTAAATGCCACAGCCTACCTGAGTATTGTTGCTGACCACGTGTATCTCTTTATGACCTCAGTGTACCCAGCTAATAATGGTTACTTCCAGCAGGACAGCATGCCGTGTCGCAAAGCTCATGTCATCTCAGACTGGCTTCTTGAATGTGACGGCTCACTGTACTCAAATGGCCTCCACGGTCACCAGATCTCAATCCAATAGAGCACCTATACTGTAGGTGGAACGGGAGATACTCGTCATGAAGGTGCAGCCGACAAATCTGCAGCAACTGCGTGATGCTATCAAGTCAACATGGAGCAAAGTCTCTGAGGAATTTCTATGCTATGCAGAATTAAGGCAGTTCTGAAGGCAAAAAGGGGTCCAACCTGGTACCAACAAGGTGTACCTAATAAAGTGGCCAGTGCGTGTATATTCTAGTTTTGTTATATTGATTTCGATTTGTCTGCAGTTGAATAAAGCTTAGCTGTTTCCTAGTGTGCGTGTAAATTTAATCTAATACTTTATTGCCATCCTACATAAGAGTTCCGTTCCGTTGTGATTGAACATGGCAACATTAAATCATTATTTGCAGCGTCGATACATTTTCCAGAAGTAATACAAACAATCGACTGTTGGTTGGATGCTGGGCCATTTCTTTCTTTTCACTTTATTTAATGCCAATGTGACAGTCTGCACCTCCACCCACTTTTTCTGTTATTGAGAACAAAATTAAATGTCTTCTCACCACGTCCCCAATCGAGTGTACATTCTACGTTCTGTGTGTCTTTGGATAAACGCGGTGAAAGCAAGAAAAACAGTTTGGGCACTTTAATTTTCTTAAAGTAAGCAAGTTAAGTTAATAAAAAAAAAAAGCCATTTGTTTTGTGGAATCTATATTGTCTTGATGACATCCAGTTCTGTGTTTTACATTGCCTGCCCCCTCATTGAAATGAAATGGAACCAATCCGGTGCATGTTAGTTGGCTGCATGTTATAAGCAGAAGTAAAATGAAACAGAAATGAAGTCTCTGTTGTCTGAGTCTCTTTATATATTTTGATCAAAACATTACAGGGACATCCTTGCGGCATTTGTGTTCCATACGTTGTTGTTTCTGTGGGGAAATCGTGTAAGATCTGTCAGGGGGACCCCCGGGGCCCCAAACCCATCAGCTTACTGGGAACATGCCCAGTGCGGCAGCTGGCCCGTCCTGCCATGGCGCCCACGATAAAAGTGTTAATTATTTGTGGTACGAACTTCTTTGTAGATTCAGCCCCCTTGAGGTCAATATTAGTAATGCAGCAAATATTTTTGCTTGGCCTCCAGTTTGGAAGTTACCTGTAAAGGAGTTACTGTTTTTAAACACATTTATAATAACTGTATATCATATATTGTTCATTATTAGATACTATGTATATACTGCCTATATGCATAGTGCATGTGTGTGTGTGTGTATGTATTATTATTTTAGAACCACACGCATACTCGGACATATAAACAGAAGCTGATGTTTTGTGCACTGCTGGAATAAACATCTACCTCATTGACCAAACCAGACAGCTTGCAGCAATTGTCATTTCACCGCTCGTTCCAGACATTCAGTGGCCAGATGCTTCAACTCTGTGCAACGCGGTGCGTGATGAACATTCCCTCATTTATCACATCGATGCTGAACTGAAGCACATGGGTCACAAAAGCACACCTTTCTGTTATTAATAGGAAAGGCATAGACCCTACGAGTTGGTCATGATCTCAGCCACCGACAACCGACACGAGGTCCGCTCTGTTAAAAGCTAACTGGTGTATTTACCTTATCAGTTATTCACAAATTCAGCTTGTTTAACTGCCAAATACATCACAAAAACACAACAAACAAAACTGACATTCGATTATTGTTAGGTCCAAGAATCGATTTTAAAAGGTAAACATACCTTCAAGTCTTTAATTGGCTCGATATAGCAAAAGTACCACACCTACAATAATAAAATATTTTTAATTATTGTTACTATTTTATGCTTAACATCTATACTTTGGCCGAAAGCCACGACACATAGCCAAGAAATACAGGCTGATCATCTCTCATTCAACAGTTTTTACATGCTTGTAAAAATGCCTCTATTAGAAACCCATCATTAAGTTGTTGTACATTCGCGTAACAAGCCAGAAATCCATATTCCATTGGAATAATACGTCAATAACGGCACGGCTCATAGTTCAGATAATGTGACTCTGCACTGTAGGATATAAATGAGAGGTTTGCAGAATATGGACAAAGGAATAAATAGATCTAAAATAAGGATATTTAGGTCTAATTGTTATGCTTTGATCGTCTTATTCCACCCATTATATATCTACTAAAACAGTACAATTGTACAATATACTACAATTATGGGAAAATGGTATCTGAGCTATTAGTTGTACCCAGACATGGTCTAGTGAACTGTAAAATAATGGGTGCTGTAGCATTATATTCAAGTATAAGGGATATAGATTAATGGCAGTTGCTTATCTGGTTGGATGAACAAACTTTTCAAGTAATGAGGCAAGCTTTTTGTATGGGACCTGGGCACCTGGGGAGACAAAACAGTTCCACCCCCAAGGACACACCTGAACATTTGAGCACACTGGCATGCAGGATGAACTAGAGAGTATTGATGGGGGCTAACACAGTGCGTACGGGAGCGGTCGAAGGCGTGGATTGCAGGGGCTGAGTCCAGGAGCCCCACAGGGTTACTTGTCCTGTTTGTAGTCCAGGGACGGGGGCTCCTTCCTGGGGCTGAATATCCAGGCCAGAGCCAACATGATGGGGCAAGAGGAAGGCACAGGAGCCCACGAAGGGGGTATGCAGGTATAAGGGTGAAGTTCAGGAACTGGCAGGAGGAGAAACGCTTAGGGCTACAGTTCAGGTCTATCAGGCTCGGTGCCTGTCTGGCCCTGTCACATTTGTCTTGGCCCCGTTTGGCCAGCAGGTGTCGCTGGCCATCCTGTTCCCTCTATCTTGTAGCCCCAAGTCCCTAATGTGTTTCCTTGGGCCCAATGCTGCTGTGTAGCTCTATGGATTGAGTGAGTGGTGTGGAAGCTGATACTCCCTCAGTCATGGGTTTGAGGCTTGCCCTCACCTGTTTTATTTTATCAGTGGCGTTTTGTATCGTTTTTGCTTTGTATCCTTGTTTTTGATTTTCCCTGCACCATTCCCTGCCGTAACAGGGTCAGGGTGATGGTGCAGACATCAGAGCATTACACTTCATATACATACAGCCAGGACACATGGGTACTTATACTATAAAGCTGCAACACATTCTTAGCTGTTTCACCTGTGCAAAGGCCCAGTACATTAGTCCAGTCTAAACTTTTAAGAATAAATAAATAGCATTTTCAACTGCAGTGTTAGTCTACAGTTCACATTTGTATGTTAATGTTCCGTTTTAAAGTTCCTTACAAATTAATAAGCACACATAATCTGAAATAAATTCATTTGCCACGTTTTCAGAGTAGGCTAATTCTGCCGTGATTAAGAGGTCACCTTGACATGCACTTGTAAACCTACCCTGAAACTGGCACAAGAATTTCACTGTGTTCCCTCGGACGTATGTGACAATGAAACCCGAAACTTGACTTCAGTAGTAGCAGCTGTTAACAAGCTATAGGCATGTGCAGGAACATGTAGGTTTGCTTCTAATTGTGGAAATTTGGTTTTAAGGATAATGGATGTTTATTGTAATTCCAAATCATATTGTGCATGAAGGGAATGAAATGAGGTACTCAGGTACAGTGTAGCAGCAATAATACAATGGAAATCAAATCCAGAACAATAATTCAATTATTAAAATTAAGGTAAAAAATAAAGAATAAAAATAAAATAGTAGCATTGGGATAAATAATAACAAGTAATTTCACTAATTAATTCTGTGTACATCAATTAAAAAATGAAAGGCACGTGAATATCTTACTGCATATGATGAAATTCATTCATTCATACATTCATTCATAATCCATCCAGAACATCTGATCTCCTCACAGGATGTCAATCGACTTTTCACTAAAGTGAACAAGGACAGGACAGGATAAAGCATTTACTTTTGATGCAGTCATGTCGAAATTTTCAGAACAGTAATTAAGCAGATGGCCAGTAAAATGTAACTATACTCGCCATATGAAGTTACATCTCATACCGTCTGCGTGGATTATTGGGCGCAGCCGGGTATGGAAAATGGATGGACGGATATATGAAATTAAGTGTTAAGTGATTTGCGGAATTTAACTCTCGCTCTCCATCTACTTTCTAGCTGCATTTTATAACAGCGGAGGTTGAGGTCGAGCAAAAAGAACGGGGCGCCGGAGGGGGCGGGGTCGTGACGTCACATGACGTACCCGCTGCCAGCGTGGAACACGAGGGGAGGGGGGTATCCCGGAAGTGCGGCGGCCACAGGGACCTGGAGGGTTAGGAGCTGTTGGAGACGCTTCCCGGTTTGGCTGTCAAGCAGGCGGCGTGGGCATCCTCAGCATTCGCTTCCCGGCCCGAACCGGAGCTCACGCCTGGACCGGAAAGCCGCAGTCATGGAGGCGCCGATAGAACAGGTAGCCGCGGGCTGGTACTGCGGTGATTCGGCACGCCGCTAATGTGCTAGCTAGCAAGATCCGAAGTGCATAAATAAACCCGCTCCCAGTAAATGTCGTGCCAGCCCGCTGTAGTGTTATGTTACCCTTCCTCTGGTACGCGGGAGGGAAAAGGCGACGCGACAGTGGAAGTAAATTGCGAGTTTAGATGTGTCAAACCCGGATCTTTGACGGGAGCTCGGTACTTCCTAGCCGCTCTTTTTTACGTGTTGAATCATTGACCTGTGCGCGTTTTCCTGGTGTCGCTTGATGGACGGGCGGTTGCACAGGTAAAGCTGTCACTCTCAAGGGGACAGTAATACAGCCCCATCGATTTTGCGCCAGCCAGGCTACAAACATCGTGCTCTTGCGAACAGACGGACAGATGGGGAAAGAGGACATTCAGAGGATCTCATTCAGGGCATTTTTTTCCAGCGTAGTTGTTTTCATTAGTCATGGTTGCTCCCTTCAGGAGAGGATGTAATCCCGAAGGGATGGGGGAGGTAGCTCGTGCTGTAGGTGCTTGTATGTCTTTCAAGATAGGTGATAGGGCTTTGTAGAACTGGGAATATTTAGTCTCTTAGATATGACGGTTTTAGAGTTACAGTATTTAAAGTTACAGTTGTTAAAAATAATTGCCAAAACTTAAAAAAAGGCATATTTTAAATGGGAGTCTGATGATAAAATATTTAATGGCTTGAATAATAAAGCTACCAGTTGCAGACTGGTAACCATGCATCATTTACACTTATTTACCAGATTGTTTTGTTCAAAGCAATGCACATGTGAAAATTAGAGAATAGAATCAGGCAGTGTCCTCTGAGCACCTGGCATTCAGGGGCTTGCTCAAGAGCACAGTGGTGACGTCACGATATATACAGCATATGCTGTCTCTTTTGAAGTTTTCACAGATACATGCAGAAGGTGAATGCAGTGGCCATAGTCGAGGGGATGGCTGATGCTGCTGGCTGCGCAGATCTGCGCATGGCTGCAAAATGAAGTCGTAAACTCTGCTTGGGAGGAGATACTTTCACTCGTGATAGGATCTGTGTGAATCACACAACCACACTTTGATGTATTCTCCTGGCAGAATACTATTACAAATTGCCAAATAGTACTAAGAAATAGGCAATATACAACTGTAACTCATTTTCACTTAAGTATCCTTAATTGGCACTTTGTTGAAACTCAGGGTATCTGGTTAATTCCAGTTATTACTGGAATTCAAAGTGATCTGTCGTGATTAGATTTATAACTGCAAGCTTAGTAAGTATGGAAAAGGAGCTGAATTTGCCGTTTCTTTGTGAAGCAGTGAGATGTTATGTCTTACTGTCCCCCATAAACGTGATAAATGGTGTCTTCCTGTTATTCATGTTAACGAGCCATCAGACAGCCTTCGTGGCTCCATGTCGATGGAGGCTGACGCAGTCCCACTCTCTCCTCTTCAGGCGCCGGTGGACCCCATGCTTGCTGAAATGGGCGAGAACCTGAACAAGGCCATACAGATTCTGGAGGATGGCCAGAGGTTTGTTGGTTTGCGTTTCCTCGCTCCCTGAACCTCTGGCCTTGGGGGTCGGTTTTGTTCCTCTGAAATAGCGGGGCTGGGGGGGGATGACATCGGTACGATTTTGGTGACCGCAAGGCAGAGCCCGTGCACAGGCCTCTTCAGGAGGCCCCGCGTGATCTGCTGCGGAAGGTTCCACGTGCTCCTCTCCTTGTTTCTCTAGGGAGGTGGCAGACGACAGAGAGAGGAGAAAGTACAGCCGGAAGGACATCCCGGGGCCCCTGCAAGGAGGGTAAGGGGCAATTGAGCGCTTATGGAGACTTACTGTGGTTTAACTGCGGTTTTGGCTTTGGGGGTATCAACATTTAGCCAATCTGCAGTGTGAAGCCTACCGGCAGGGTAAACTCCAAGTGACATGGTCACATGGTCCTAACCAAAATACCCACTGTGCTGTGCGGTGTGGCTTAGCTCCTCGTAACAGCAGCTGGCATCGTGTGTGTGTTTGTGCCCCCCCCCCACCCCCCCCCCGTGGCCAGGACGTGGCAAGCATCCTGCAGCTGGTCCAGAACCTCATGCATGGGGATGAGGAGGATGGCAGATGGGAGCACCGGTAAGAGGCGCCCACCCCCCTTACTTGATCTGTCGTGATGAAGGCAGGAATATTAGAGAAGTCTGCTAGCATCAGCAATGGCCACCAATATCTCATGGGCCCAGCATACCATTTACTGGATTTGCTGTAAGTTAGAGTGACTATGGTTTATGGTGATGGCAGTCACCAGGAATGGCGTGGGTTTCATTGTAGTGCTCTCCAAGATTTCTATGAGTTATGGTGATGGTGGTCACAATGGTTACCAGGGGTCACGGTGATGGTGGTCAGCAAGGTTGCTGTGGGGTATAGTGACGGAGGTCACCAGGGTTGCTGTGGGTTACGTTGTAGTGACCTCCAAGGTTGTCATGTGTTACGGTGTGGCGGTCTCTAGGGTTGCCGCAGGTCATGGTGATACCCCTGTGTCTTTCCAGCAGGATGCAGAATGTGGGTGAGCAGGGTCACATGGCCCTGTTGGGCCACAGCCTGGCCGCCTACATCTCCGTGCTGGACAGGGAGCGGTTGCGCAAGCTGACCACCCGCATCCTCTCAGACACCACACTCTGGTTATGCCGGCTCTTCAGGTACGATCACCCCCCATCCCCCCCTCCGGATGCCCCTTGAGAGTGGCTGTTTATCTTCCCTGATTTCAGGGTAAAGTACAGTGATGTTTCAGTAGTGCTATCTAGCTGATTTCGTTGCTACTCTGGCAGATATGAGAACGGATCGGCGTATTACCATGAGGATGACCGTGAGGGTCTCCTCAAGGTCTGCCGGCTCGTCATCCACTCACGCTATGACGACTTCGCCACTGAGGGTTTCACCGTGCTGGGCTCCCAACAGCCTGTCGTATACCAGAGCGCCGCCTGCCGGATGGGGCTGGGACAGTACCTCTGCAACCAGGTGTGATGATCATACAGAGAGGCTAGATTTGGGAATTTAAAAGCCCTAACAGAACACAATCTTCTGATTGTGGGCTAATGTTTCACTATGTTCTTCAGTCGAAAATGTCCAGATGTTGTCTCTCTGTGAGCTTGGTAGGGGTGCAGCTTGTCATGCCTGATCTAGCTGTGAGGTTGGTTGGGGTGCAGTTTGTCATGTCTGTTTTGACTGTGAGCTTGGTTGGAGTGGAGCTTGTCCTGTCTGATCTGGCTGTGAGCTTGGTTGGAGTGCAGCTTGTCATGTCTCACAGAGTATCTGTTTTTACAGTTGGGTTTACCCCTCTCCTGCCTGTGCACCGTGCCCTGTAACACCATGTTTGGATCTCAGCACCAAATGGTAAATATGGCTCTTCTCCAAAGGCCTTGAGTCCTTTCTTTGGACAGAACCTCATTCTGGACCGGATTTGCTGGACATCCTGTTTGTTTTGCTTCTGCAGGATGTTGCCTTGCTGGACAGGCTGATCAAGGATGACATGGACTCCGGGAAACTCCCCTTAGTGCTGATAGCCAACGCTGGTTAGTGTGGAAGCTCCTCATAGATTCTTTGTTAGCTTTTCATAGAATGATTTGAGGTTTTCCTTTGAAAAGATCACCGTGTTCTGCATGGGGTTGAGTACACGTTCTCACCTTGGTAGGATCACCCGGTGCGGGGCACACAGACAAGCTGAGCCGCCTGAAGGAGCTGTGCATTCAGTACGACATCTGGCTTCACGTGGAGGGGTACGTACTTGCTGCCGGCCACTTGCTTTCCCACTTCAAGTGCCAGCTCCACCCTGATGTTGCATCTCCTTTTCCACCTCCAGAGTCAACCTGGCGACCCTCACACTCGGCTGCGTCACATCTTCAGTGATGGTATGTCTGCCTGGAGCTCGGGCTTCTGGGAATTCTGCCCCTCGGATCATTCCCTGGAATTCCACCCCTCGGAATATTCTCTGGTATTCCATGCTGTTTATGTGTACCTGGACATCATCCATTCCTTTCTAGGCAGCCACTAAAGCTGACAGCATGACCCTAACCCTGGGGCCATGGCTGGGCCTCCCCGCGGTTCCGGCCGTCACACTCTACAGGCACGAGGATCCTGCCCTGGTCAGTCAGGCCCATTTCAGGCAGCACTGATAACTGATAACTATGATGTGATAACTATCACCTTCCATAACACCACTGATGACATCATCCTCACTGGTCGCCCCACAGTCTCTAGCAGCGGGCCTGACCTCCAGCCAGCCGGTGGAAAAGCTCCGAGCCCTCCCCCTCTGGCTGTCCCTGCAGTACCTGGGGCATGATGGGATAGTGGAGCGGATCAGACATGCCTCACAGCTGGTAAGCAGTAGCCTCGAGGCTGTTAGGGCCACCACCAGGCACCTGACAGTGAGAGTGGGGGGGGAAAAAATCATTTTCTCTTTCTGTAGAGCCAGCAGCTCCTGGACCATTTGAAGAAGCAGGCTTCCATCAAGACAACGGTAAGCGGCTACTGTTTTTTTTTTTTTTTTTTTTTTTTTTAAGCGCGGCTTTGCGAGTTACCCTGATCCTCTGCTGGCTCCTGTCAGACCTCGGGTGTCATATTTAAGCAGCTAATCCCCTGGCTGCATTTAGTACGGAATCGTTGCCTCACGGGCCACACCGCCTGCGTGAGGCCTGACTGTGAAATGCTGCTGCTGTTGATCCGTGACGGTGCACACCTTCTCCGCGTCCGTTGCACACGGCCGACACTTCAGCATCCCTGTGTTCGTGTCGTGAGTTCACTTTTTCAAGCGGGCCCATTTGAGCTGCCGCCCGGTCTAAAGATGACCTCGCAGATTCGGGTAAAGTCAGTGAAGGGCCACGTGGCGGAGAGGGCAGCGCGTGTGACCTCGTCCCTGGCGGCCCTGGTGAGCTCAGCTGCGCTTGATTTCAGGGCATGACAACTCGCTTCCGGGTCCCTCCCATCTCCGGGGGCTCTCTGCAAGACGTCCTGGGTTCCCTCGTACTGTCCATTGTAGGTGGGCCCCGCCCTGTGCCTGCTCACGCCCTCCTGCCCCCCCGCATCCTCGCCATCATGCTTACTCACGCTCCTGGGGCAAGCACAGTCTCAGATGCTGCTCGAACTCGGGCTCAAGCAGCCAAAGCGGTTAAGACTCACTGTGTTAAGTATGCAATTATCATTTGTGCCTTTTGGATTCTGTTTTTGTAATGTTGTAGTAAAACCAGCTGTATCACTTAAAAGTGGTCGGTCAGCATTCCTAAGGTAATACTGGTTTAAGCTGAAATAGACATTGATGTCTTAAGAGCATTATTCAGTGAATAGTAACTTAAAAATCAACATGGCAGGTAAGCTGATTTTCCAGAATACTCTGCGCTCCATAATGAGATATGGATTTGAAGGGCAGGGGCGGTGTAATGGTGAAAACCAAAGGGCACATGCGTGAATCCGTAGAGGCCTTTCCCGTGCAGCCGCACCCTCTCCTCGTCCCCTGCGTGTGGGACCGGCAGGGGTCACGACCCCACCGCCCTTCATGGATCAGACGAGGGTTTGCTCTGCATGAACGCGCCATGCATTCGGTGGTCTCATATCACCAGAGGACTGTCACACGGTGACAGCCTGTTTATCAGACATCCGCACTTGTTAGGTTTATTTCTTTATTTAGATTTTTTTTGGGGGGGGGTAATTAAATTTCTACATTGTTTTTGAGGAACACAATCATATGGGACGTGTTTTTTTTCCGAAAATTTACAAGTCAGAGGCACAAAAATTGGCGCAATCCGCTCAATAATTTGGCCCATGGATGTCACTGTGAAGACAGTATTTTGTGAGACGTGTGTATGACATCGTACATCTGGGCTGAGAGAGAGAGCATCACCAGCTGCAGACTGGCAGCAGTCAAAGCAAGCCAAGCTGTTCATATCATAAACCGTTAATGGCATCATCATGCACCCAAAACACCACCTCTGCTGCTTGGGTGTAATCTTGCACAGGTGCCTTCATTTTGCATGGATGACAGTAGGGCTGTGCGATACCACATAGCGACATACTCTCGATTACATGGCATAAGCGCAGCAATGACCAGGGCTTTACTTAGCAGGTGAAACATTTGTCCGGACGCCAGTTTTTCGCTCCTATACGGACGTTCATTTACACCAACAATTTGGTAAGCAGATTAGTTGTACACCTAAAATGTTAGCCAATTGTATAAATTCGCCATATCCTTATGGTTAATGAACATGTGGGACTTTAAACTGCTAAAAGTACCGCCACACAACCAACCTCTTTTTAACTTGCTTAACCACATTATCTTCTCCTTTAAAAGATGTTTGTGGCTGTTGATCTGTTCCTTTCTTCACTGCCACTTCAGTGCTTGTCGCTTCCATGATTTACCAAAACAGTAACGTGATGTGCTACGCTAACCAAATCTAAGAAGCATAAGGATACACCGAATATTTTAGGCATTCTACTAATCTGCTTACCGAATTGTGGGTGTAAGTAAATGTCTGTATAGTAGGTAGAAGCTGGCATCTGGACAAATGGTTGCCCGTCATCTGAAGCCCTGGTGATTATCTTGCATGCGGCATATAATCTCGAGCACATCACGATATGATATCGTGCAGCCCTAAATGAAAGTTGTGCTTGACTTCTGGTGCTGTCCGAACATGCTGGGGGTGGGGGGGTGGTTGAGTCTTACCCCTGAGACCCTGAGCCTGTCTCTTTTGCTGCTCGGTCTGTCAGGTGGAGGATGAGCTGAATTCGCCGGTGGTGGTGTTCAGGTTCTCCCAGGACAGCAGCACAGGTGCGTCTGCAGCTTTCTTGTTCTTATCCTTTGAATAAGGAGCTGAGGTTCAGTCAGGTTGCACAGCCGAGGTATGACTTGTGTCCCAACCTTCCCAGCATCCAGTGTGGGTTCTGCGGAGGGCTGTCTCGGCTGGGAGAGGGAGGTGCAGGACTCCCTCAACAGATGGGTAAGGCAGCTGGACGACAGAGGGTGCTTCTGCTGAATCCTGACCTCTCGGAAGCAGCACGGGGGTTTTTACCGGAGGACTGCATTTGCACACATGTGACTGGCATGTCCCGCCCCGACAGCTGGGTGAGCGGTTGGTGCAGCTGGTGCCTGCCAGCGGTGTGGACGTCGTGGACCTGGAGGACGAGGGCACCTGTGTGAGATTTAACCCACTGATGACTGCCGCAGGTATGGTGCCGAACCTTCTCTGAACACCTCTGAGCCCTCCTCCCCCATAACTGTGCCTTGAGGCCCTGCCCTATTGACTTGGGGGGGCGTGGCTTGTGTGGGCGTGGCCTGAGCAGATGTGCTGTGTCCTCCTCAGTGCTGGGCACGCAGGAGGCCGACGTGGAGGCCCTGGTGGCCAGGTTGACAGAGATAGTGCCCCTGCTGAGCGCAACGCTGCGCCTCCGGCAGGAGTTCAGGGAGGAGGTGTACCGGCACGCCACCCTTGCCTACGTGGAAGACCTGGGCTGGCCGGGCCTGGGGGCCATCAGGTCAGAGTTCGGGGTCCAGAGCTCTGATGGGGGCGGGGCGTGGACCCAGTTTGTATGAAAGCGAGGTAACGACTGCCCTTCACAGATACCTGCCCAGGAGCGAGGAGCCAGACGCGGGCAGGAGGCAGCAGGAGGTGGAGAAGGTCAACAGTGACCTGCTGAGGAAACTCAAGGAGCTGGATGCGGACCTCAGTTTCTCCACAGGTGTGTCCACGAGGTCTCCTCAGGGAGTAATTAAGGAGTTTTAAGCAAGGTTCCTCCTGAAGTGTCCGTTGGTAACGGAACTTAAATAACCAGGAGATGACGCCCTTTCCTGACAGGCCCGGAGTTCGGCCCGGAGAAGAACTGCGTGTTTGTCGGCATGGCAACAGAAGACCTGGACGTGGCGGAACTGGTGAAGACGATCGCATCACTGGGGAAGGACATCGAGGAGAGCGGCAAGGTGAGGCCGCCATGCTGAGGCCTAGAGCACGAGGCTGGTATGATCTCACATCAGACGTGTAATGGCTGTTTAATAAGACCTTAAGCTAAGCCCCTGGCATGGCCCCACCCCCCAGTTACTGGAGAACATGACGGAAGTGGTGCGCTGGGGCATTCAGGAGGCGGAGATGCAGCTGCAGAAGGCGAGTGACCAGAAGCTGATGGAGGAGGTTTGTGTGGGCTCTGGGATTCCGGACCACCTATCGATCGGCATTTGCCTTCACTGTCCTAACACATCTCTCTCTCACCACCAGGGGGTGCTGCGGCAGATCCCGCTGGTGGGCTCCATGCTCAACTGGTTGTCCCCGTCCCAGAGTTCTGTACAAGGCAGGACGTTCAACCTGGCTTTAGGTATGGACGCTCCTCCTGAAACGCTACAATCCCATAATTCCCATCTTTGGACTCACACACCAGAGCCCTGAAACTGTCTGTGTTGGTCACCTAAAGGTTCCTTGGACACCACAGAACCCACGTACTCCAGCAGGACCCAGACGGGAGGAGAAACGCCCCCCACCACCCCCACATCCAGTGTCTCCAAGCAGTTGCCAGGTAACAAGCCTTTTTGTATGTGGCGTTATGGACTGTGTCTCTGTCATGGAGATCCATGGCCTGGGTGGTCGTCTTCTGCACTGTCAAGCCGAAAGGTAAATCGGCTCGATAAACACAAAGATCTCCTACTCTGAAGCTCCCGATCCATGTTTATGATGCTGGTTTTCCTCAGGAGAAGGACTTGCACTATAGTGAAAGTGAGGATTGACAGGATCAGCCATCAATATCAGTGATGCCTCCCACCCCCTGTCCCCTGTCTTATCACAGGGCATAAGCTGTTTCGCCGGGGACACGGCAGCTTTGACGCCCCCGACAGCACCAGCTTCCTGACTCCCAATGAGACGTCCCAGAGCTGGGGGCCCCAGGACGGCTCTACAGGGCTCCCCCTGCAGGCGGAACCTGTCCTCACAGAGGCCGACACCCAGGGTGCAGAGGCAGGATTCCATGTCAGATAGGATGACCGACTGTGAAGCATGGTGTAGGACTGTCACCCAGGAAGCTGCTGAGAGACCCTGGGGGGGTGGGGGGGTGCCCTCTGGAGCTCAAGCAGCTGGTTAACAAGTTTGGGGAAAGTGAGACACCTAACATGCGGGCGCATAGCGACAAGGATGGAATTAATGTCTGTTTGTTTTCTTTTATCCCTCCTAACCTTGACTTAATCACTTTGTAATCGAGAATGTACACAGAAGTAAAATGTGATTGAATGAGTAGTGGAAAAGCAGATTATTTTGTGACAGGTGCTGGAGAGGGGTATACTGGAGAGGGGTATACTGGAGAGGGGTATACTGGAGAGGAGTATAGTTTTTATGTCATTTCCCAGCTGTCATCAACACTGTTTCACCTGTCCAGTTACACCTGCTTCAGCCCTTTTAACATGTGCACTCCCTGAGTTCAGTTGAAGGAATCATTGGCTCCTAGATATTTATCTCTGAAGAAGTAATCTCGTCTATTAGACCAGTGTTTCCCAACCCAGTCCTTGGTGTTCCTGATTGGCTGGGAGCTGGGAAGGAGCAAAAATGTGGACTGTCCAGGGTTCCTCGAGGACTGGGTTGGGAAAGACTGTCTTAGACAACACTGAAGACACTGGCTGTGTAGTTGTCTTAGACCAATTTCAGTTTTTATAATTTATCTAGGTAAAGAGACTGACTGGGGAATGAAGTTTATTTTATCTGGGAACATTGAATTTGCTGCACTTTTTCAACTGCTTTTTATTTAACTGGGTATTGATTTAATAATGTTTTAGATTAATTGTTCTTTCTGATTTTTATTTAATATGATCTGGAGCTGATCGTTTTTTCTTCTAATCAAAATAAATAGTTTGTTTACACTTTCTGCTTATTTAAAATAATCTGGAGCCATTTTTTCAGTTTTTAAAAAGTTGCTTTTCTTGTTGGCCCTATAGTCAAATGTCTCATCAATTGGCTGTCTTGTGTGAAGCTTCATCGGGATTGGTTTGGCAGTGGGGCCATTGCCCCTCCTACTCTGTGTCCCCTGGCCAGTCGTGTTTCAGATGCTTGAAGTGGGCAGTATAGTAACAGGATTTTTCTAATTTTGCTTTTGATTGATTAAATTTCTTTCTGTTTGTGCCAAAACTGTAAAAACGGACCATACTGCACTTTGTGTGGGCCTACTGTAGTACCTATTAGGATTATAAATGTTCCTTTTCTTGGTAATATCACTGTCAGAGATATCCCCCCCCCCCCCCAGCCAGGATTTAGTTCATCTGCCCAACATAAAGAGATGCAGTCTTGTCTTTCTGTGTTAACCTGAGATGCGAATGTTCTGATACAGCCTCCTTCATCCTTTCTGTTCACCACAGAGTTATGTTTCTCCTGCTCTAATGTAAAGTGTCATGTAGCCCAGATTCGGTTCTCCGCGACGGACTGACACACAAAAGCTGAGGTGGTTTGAATCCCTTGGGTCTCTCCAGTTTCTTCCTCCTGTCTGTGTCTCTCGCGGCAAAGTCTCACGCTCGCCTCGTAGCCTTGACACCTGTTTCTCTTACTGTCGATTCACTGTCCCTCACTTCGGTATCATGGCTCAAAGAAATGTCGGCTTGCGACAACACAGCAGCTGCTGATGACATGCTTCAAGTCCAGACGTTACATAACTAATGTATTTAAGTGCAATTTTAAAAGAAAACCTTCTCAGTGCCCACAGATCTTTGTCTTCCTTTTCACAAGTCCTGTTAGTTTTTGGTGCAATAATTCATTTTAATCAGTAGTTGGGAGTGAAATGTCTAATATATTATGAAACTGCTAAAGATTTAAGATGATTATTTTCCCATTTATTTTACAGTTTGAATATAGTTCGGTGTTACATCCTTAGGCTGAAATGGGATAGGCTGTTTTTTATGTCTTCACTAAGATGTAAGACTCCATGCCCTTTCCCCAGTGTTCTTGGGAAAAGAGTGGAATCGGTCACTCTTGTTGCCTTTATTAAACCACATTTTGATGTATTCACTCTGTGCCTATTTGTCAAGTGCCTTTGTGTATCGAGTGGGTGTAATATATCCCAGCTTGGGAATCTGGTACAGCCGAATAACAGGAAATACCTCTATATTTTAGAGGGTTTTCTTTTGTATGGTTTTGCTATAAATATTTAGCTACACTGACATTAACTTTAATTGCCTTATAAATAATTTGACCTTAAGTCATTCTTATTACTGAAATTATATTTAAGTATTGTACTTAAGTCGTACTTTAACACCACTGCCTTACATAATGGCTTGTTAACACACTCAATATTTACCATTAATTCTTTTACTGCAGAAATATAATAGAATGGTACACAATGACATACCATTATTGGTTTATATTATTATTTTTAACACAGAGGTTAAATGTTTGCATCCCTCCAGTCTCAAAGACCATTAAGCTTCAAAGGTCCTTGACTATTTAAAGTGATAAAATATGGGTTGGTGGATGCTGCGCCATCATCTAGCATTATTTCTGCCACGTCACATTTCCTGTTATTAAAACGACAAAAAACAAACGCCTGCCAAAGGTTTATCTGAACAATTATGCACTGTTACTTTATATGCAACATTGACTCAACGTGTTTACCGCGTATTACGTCAAACGTTCCGTGAATTATCTGTGGGCCAATCAGAGAGAAACAAACGAGAACCTGTCTCCTGTGGCCAATCAAAGAGAAATATACTCTAGTGTACGGCGCGTGGGACAATCAGAGCGAAATTTACTAAGACAGATCTCACGTGGTCCAATCAGAGTGAATCTATCGTTTAGTAACGAATGGCTGTCTAGACAAAAACTACAATCCACAAGACAACAACAAGTCCCATAATGCAGTGCGGAGGCCGTTTCCTGTGGTCGGGAGAGAGCCGTCGGCGCACACGAGGACTCGCGTTGAGCGCTGAGTCGGACCTCTTTCCGCTGCGTCGCCCTGCGAAGCCGGCTCGGTTTTACCTGGAAGACGGAAGGGCGCTTTTCGCGTGTGGGAACCGGCAGGGAGCTGCTTTTAAACGCTTTTAAAAGGAGGCGACCCAGATAAAAAGGCGCACCGGGCCGGGTGGTTATAAAACTGTGGAAGTGCGCAGTGAAATAGCGAGCCAGCGATGGAACCCATAGACAGTGCCCCCGACTCCTGGGAGCAGGAGGACGACAGCGAGGCCCCGGTCGACGTGCCGCTTCGAGCCGCTCTCGGCGCCCTCAACGTCCACGCCGCCGAGTTCGTGCCGGGTTTTCGCCAGATGGTCCCCACCGAAGAGCCCGGCCGCCGCGGTGAGTTGGCCGCCGCTTTTTATTTTCTCTCTTCCATCGTGTTAGCTTCAGCGGTCCGGCTGTAAGTCCGATAAAACCACCATAGGCATCGGGACTGGGCTGCAGTGTTTCCATAGGCCGGTACCGGGGCCGGCTGGCCCGCTAACTACCGTCCGCCCTACGCCTCCTCCCTGGGAGCCGGCCCGGTCATGAGGCGCCATGCTCATATCAGAGCAGCGGAAGCCGCCCTTATCTCCACCCGGGTGTTATCCCAACGTGTAATGGTGTCCATCCCCGCGTTTTTGGACCGGTACATCGGCCCGATCTTCGTGTCATACGTCTCCCTTGTGTCTACATGGTTGGGTTCGCCACCTGGCCCGGCGATCCGGGACTGTCAGGGATCTCACAAGTCTCACAGTTTACGGTGCAAATAGATGCATGTAATTTAGTTTGAAGGAAGAAAAATGCTCTTGAGTACGAGCTTGCTTAAATAGCCCATAAATGCGGAATCTCTCCACCCCTCACAGTAGTGTTCGCGGACACCCTCCCCCGTTTTGTTTTCCTGCTTATTGTCCTGTACCAGAGTGATACTTATTCACCATGTATAGTTACACTTCATCAGCCCTCCTGAAAAGCAGCACAGGCTGACTTTTGCGCGGTCTCATGCGGCTTCAGCGCTCTCCACCTTTTGCCCCCGGGGCTGAGCTACTCATGTCCTTCATTAAGCTGACAGGACTTCATTTACATCGCATTTACATTTATTTAGCAAAGCGATGTGCAAGCGCGTGGCCGCCAATTAAAACTTGGGCTTCAGATCAAGGTTTGACTAGCCAGTAATAAACAAACTGCATCAACAGTGTGATTTTCTGAACTGTCACTATAGTTTAGTGCCGTTACTATTAGTTCTGATTGTAGATAAAATGTGTCTTACAAGGCATCAGGTTTTTGCAACTTTTTTTTTCTTTTTCCTTCCTAATACATATTTTTTAAAATCTTAAAACTGCTTTTGAGGAAAACAAAAGATAGAGGCATATTCCTGCTATCAAAATCAAATATGCTTAGGACATTAAAGGGTTTTAGAATATGTAAACAAATCCTGCTTCTTAATATCCAGCAGTGTGCCATCTGTGGCTGTTTCCATTCATTTGTTTGATCTGGCTTTTGTAATGCGCTCGCCTCCGATGATCCGTGCAGTTGACATTTCGCTGGAGTTCAAAACGATGGACAGAATCGAGAGATGTCACCCTCGGCGTGCTTTGTGACTGATCACTTTGGGGCATGTTGGCGACATGAGGGTCACATGTGCTGTAAGGTGGGCCCTAACCTTACTGCCGTGATCTTCTCTATTAGTGTTCCCCTGTCGGTGCATCTTGGGCCTCTTCGTTGTTGGCTATCCATCCTCATAGCTGAAGCTACCTCATTGTTCTAAACAAGTCAAAGCAGAGAGACTGACTCCAGTGGGTAGACTTCCCACTTGTGGGATTATTGGTTAAATCCCAGCTCTTTGGTGTTTATTCCTGGCAGCCTGGATGCTGTGGCTGCGGCAGTATTTACAGTGTGACAAACCACAAGTTAAGGTTTTAAGTTGGAGATGGGAGACGTGTCAACAGATCATTTAAGATCGCTTTTTAATATGATGTCTTTGAATAATTCCAGCATGTCGTTTAATGGGTTTTGCTCTAATTATAACATGGCTGTAAGGTCATTCGGCTTCTGTGACCAAGCGGACGCTTTCTGAAGCTGTGATCCTGAGCTGTACAGGCTCTCCTCACTTAACGACTGCCTTCCGTTCCTCTGAATAGGGGCCACCCCTTTCCAATACTTCAAGCATAAGAATAGAGGAGATCAGCTCTAATATACATTACTGAGGTTTGCATACTGTAAATAGAGGCAATTGTTTTTATTTATTCTGCATAAAGAAAAGCTATAAAGGAAACTCCATCTTGATAACTTTGTTTAAATTTGCATTACTCATATTGCACAACATAAAATATGATCAGCATAAATTATAAAAATGATGTATAAAAAAAAAATGGGACTGAGACAGAGTGATGCGAGATGAGATGCTTGACGCCAAGACACCGCGCTGCTGTTTCCACGACCAAAGTTCTTGTACAGCGTATAATACCGACAGATGGAGAGCTGGACGTAAGTCAGGGTGGTCATTAAACAGGTAGGTCGTTAAGTGAGGAGCGCCTGTAGTCTTTGAAATCTGCAGTGGGGGTCTGAAGCTCATTTGTTTTCCCTGCAGGTTCCGAGACAGTCAACTCTACGGAAGCGTCAGAACCCGCTGGTACGTTCTGGATTCCGCATCATGCCTGTGGCTGTTGTTTTCTGGTCTGGTTGCCCATGACACTGTACCCTTTAGAGTTTGGCACTGTCTGTCATTCATGCCTGTCCGATAGTGACAACAAAACTTCATGGCCTTAGCATGTCACTGTGTTCCCAGACCACCTGTGAGCCATCCAGCATGCTGAGAGCAGTTCTTAAGGCTGAGAGGGTTCGCTGTTACTGTCTGTTGAATTTTCATCTTTCAGAGGTTAACATGAAACTCATCAACCCCTCAGCTGTAAAGCCGCCCGCTGACGATCTCCTCTGCTTACGAGCTGTAATCTGCTCCTTGAATTTTCCTGTTGCACCTGCTTCCGTTGCCCTAGAGCAGTGTTTCTCAGCGGGGATCCCCAGACAGTCCACATTGTTCACACTTGAGCTAGTCAGTTAAGAACACCGAATACCTAGTGCAGGTGGGTTGGGCACTGGGAGGAAGCAAAAACGTGGAGTGTCTGGGGATCGCTGGGGGCTGGGTTGAGAAATACTGCCCTAGACTTGCTGTCATTTCACGAAGGATACAGCGACACCAGATTCTAATGTTTGAAGGTTGGACTGCAGCTCTGGAACTGGGACAGTATCGCCTGCTGTGGTGTGCAGGTGCTCGCTTATTTTTTGCAGAGCCATGAACGTGGAACATTAGCTCCATTAGGGACTGAACAGGGGCTAGAACGCATGTGTGTGGTCATCAGAAAGATCCTGTCTGAACCCCCCGGGGTGTCTGTGTCCAGCTCCCCTGGAGAATGGCGAGACGGGGGTGGCCACAGAGGAGACGTGGGAGCAGAAGGGGGCGGGACCCAGTGAGGCGGAGCCGGGAGGCGGCCCCGTGGGCGACGGGGGCACAGTTGGTCCATCTGCAGAGGAGGATGAAGAGGAGCCCCTGATGGAGGAAGAGGAGGAGGTGCCAAAGCCCAAACTGGCCCCTGCCCTGCCAGATGCGCCCAAGAAGGAGCACGTCAACGTTGTCTTCATTGGACACGTGGGTAAGTGTTTACGAGGCCGTGAGGTTTGATGGACGAAATGCCAGGACGCTGATGTCATCTTCCCCCTCTCTCCCTCCCCCCTCAGATGCTGGCAAGTCCACAATCGGAGGCCAGATCATGTGAGTGCCCATCTTATGCATGTTGTTGGACCACAGGAAATTCTGGGAGTCTGTGTGCATGCCTTCCCTTGCTACCAACCGTCTAAATCCTATCAGCTTGATGTAATAAGCTGCTGGCTTTGCAGCCGTTATGTTGCCTTGGCTCGCTGTTGGAGCAGGGACGTGCTGTGCCACGTGGGGGTGACGTTTCTCACATGTTGCCTCAGGTACTTAACAGGCATGGTGGAGAAGCGAACCTTGGAGAAGTATGAGAGAGAGGCCAAGGAGAAGAACAGAGAGACTTGGTGAGCCACGCCCACTCTGGCCACGGCCAGTCGGAGCAGGATTCTTAACAGCTTGTAGTTCTGTTGGTACTCCTGCTTTACGGGTCAGGGAGTGCTGACGGCCTTCGTCTCCTGGCGCAGGTACCTCTCCTGGGCCCTGGACACGAACCAGGAGGAACGGGACAAGGGCAAGACGGTGGAGGTCGGCCGGGCCTACTTCGAGACTGAAAAGAAGCACTTCACCATCCTGGATGCCCCAGGACACAAGAGCTTCGTACCCAACATGATTGGCGGGGCGTCGCAAGCCGACCTGGCCGTGCTGGTGAGGGGTGGGGGCGGTACATGCAGAATGGGAGATACAAACTAAGCCGTCAAAACTTTGGGTTGTGTAAGTGGTTGGATGAACGTGGCTGGAGCTGCTCTCCTCACCTCCCCGCAGGTGATCTCGGCCCGCAAAGGCGAGTTCGAGACGGGCTTCGAGAAGGGTGGCCAGACGCGGGAGCACGCCATGCTGGCCAAGACTGCTGGCGTGAAGCACCTCATCGTGCTCATCAACAAGATGGACGACCCTACGGTCAACTGGAGTCTGGAGAGGTGATCAGGCTGGGGGGCGTGGGAAGGTGATTAGGCTGGGGGGTGTGTGCAGTTTGTGTGCTTATGATTATGGGATGGACTGCCACTCAAGGTTAGAGGCTCCCGTTACTTTAAGTGGCCACGCATGTGTTGGAGACCAGCATCTGTCGGTAACAACACCCCCCCCCCAGGTACGAGGAGTGCAAGGAGAAGCTAGTGCCATTTCTAAAGAAGGTTGGATTCAACCCCAAGAAGGACATCCACTTCATGCCCTGCTCTGGACTGACGGGTGCCAATCTGAAGGAGCCTGCTGAGCTCTGCTCCTGGTACACGTAAGTCCCCGGCGCATCCCTGGGTATGAGGGCGGCTCCTTCCTGCTGGGGGCGGGGCTCACTGGACGTGTCCTTGGGTGTCAGGGCGGCTTGCGTGGCCATGCGACATTGGGCTTCTGCCTGAGTGTGACGGCTTTGTCACCAGTAAAGCTCTGGCAGGCATTAACCGGCTTGATGTCATTTAATGCCCGTGGCCTGCAGCAATCTGAGTAACTATGCCGTGTGTCACGCCTTCCGTGTTCATGAGGCGTGTTCCTGCCACACGCCTGCTTACCTGCACACTGCTGTATCCTGGACAACAAATTCCCCCCAAAGATCAAAACCTCTTTCTGTTCTCGTCCCACCAGAGGGCTTCCCTTCATCCCCCATCTGGACAGTCTGCCAAACTTCAACAGATCCAGCGATGGCCCAGTCAGGTTACCCATCGTGGACAAGTACAAGGTGGGCATGAGCTCCCCCCAGTGGTGCATGAGGGTGGTGTTACTGCGGCAATGGTGGTGGCAGAACAAACCTTCAGGTCCTTTAGTAATATTCCAGAAGGTGGTGCTCACGGCCTGCCTGCTAGGACCTGCCTGTCCACCTCTCTGCGTCTGTGAGCCCCCCCCTAACCAGCGTGACTCCCCTGCAGGACATGGGCACCGTGATTCTGGGGAAGCTCGAGTCGGGCTCCATCAGCAAGGCGCAGCAACTGGTGGTGATGCCGAACCGGGTAAGTGGCTGATTGGCACCCCGCGGCCTCCCTGTCACCTGCTGTCCTCTCCGGGGGGGGGAGCATCTAACATGGTCCTCTCTCCCCCCCCCTGGGCAGCACACTGTGGAGGTGCTCAGCCTGCTTTCGGACGACGTGGAGACAGAGGACGCGGGTCCTGGGGAGAACCTCAAACTGCGGCTGAAGGGCATCGAGGAGGAGGAGATCCTGCCCGGCTTCATCCTCTGCACGCCCGAGAACCTCTGCCACTCGGGACGCACCTTCGATGCACAGGTGCCACCCCTCGAACCTGGGGCTTGGCGGGGGAGGGGTGCTTGGGGCATCGGGCCAGTCCTGCTCTTTAACCCACATGCATTGCTGCTTTGCAGATTGTCATCATCGAGCACAAGTCCATCATCTGTCCCGGTTACAACGCGGTGCTGCACATCCATACCTGCATTGAAGAAGTGCAGATCACGGTGAGGGGGGGGGGG